TTGAAAAAAAAAAAAAAAAAGGAGTGACTTAATTTCCAAAGGAAAATGATTGTAGATATAGATCTTTACAGCTGAGTTTACTACAAATGTTTGCTTTGTTTTTCTTGAATTGAATTTATGTTAACATCATTTAGAGTAAAGATAGAGGGGCAGATATTTACAGCTTCTCAAACCAGCTTAGGTATTCCGAGTAAGAATAAAAGGCTGTTCTGCAGAAGAAACAAACATGATAGGATACTTATTTTGCATATAGACTTATTATAGAGACCTAGACAGAAGCAGGCCACAGAGCAGAAAGAATATCAATAATAAACAAATGTACTGAAAGAAAAAAAAAAAATGAGGAATCTTAGATTTGCGATTCAAAACATGTTTTAGTTTGAAATTTCTGTAGAAACTTCTCTACCTGATGCTGACAGGAGTTTTGTGATACATACCCCAATGCATGAAAACCTCTCCTGTACAGATATGTTCAATTCACTTACTTGGGAATTTACGTTCATGGCTCAGAGCAAGAAGACGTTTCATTTCTGGAAATCAAATCAAATCAAATCAAATCAAATAGCTATTATGAATATTGTAAAATAATTATTATGAATGTAAGACAAACTATAGCAGGAAAACCAGACTTGAAAACAAAACAAGCATGCTTAACAGATATATTTTTACCTTCTTCATCAATTGTGTAGCTTGATGAAACTCCATCAGTGTCTGTAACGACACAAGAATAAATTCCCAAATCATCTTCTCCAAGATCCTTAAAGGTAGCTTTTGACCTTCAAAAAGAAATATTTTGATCCAAAGATGAGACCAGTCTGAACCAACCTCCTCCTTTATGTCTCTAGTACTAGATAAAAATATTCCTCTGTTTCTTTGCTTTGAACAGGGAAGTACGGGGCCTTGGGGAGCATATGGAAGGGTACGTCCTGCCAGTTGTACTACAAACGGAGGCGACACAGCCTCTATAGCTAGATCATGTGGATCCTGTCAGTGAAGAAGAAAGTGAAGAGAGAACCAAAAACATCCAAGACATCATGAGAGCGAAGGTTGCCTCTGCTGGGAAAGCAGCACAGAGATGGGCATAAGCTGCACAACTTTCCCAAGAAGGCATATAAACTCTTAACACCAAAAATACTGGAGCTAGATAGCTTAAGCTAGCTCAAGCATGCCTTTAAAAATATTTTGTCATATCTTTGATCAGTTTGCACTCATGAGTGTGATGACTGTGTGATACAATTTTCATAAGGAATGTTGAGTGTTGTGAGCTGCTACTTCCTGTACGGTTTCTATAAGGGGAAGAGAACATAGCTACTCTGTAGGTTGAACATATATATTTGCCATTTATTCCTCTCTGATTAAAGCTTGAAGAAACAGGTAAGATTTACACAGAATTATAAAAGCTACCAAATCTAGGGCATGAAGACATGCTTAAAATAGAGTAGTGCTTACTCCAGCACCTCAGAAGATTGCAAGTGTTACACAATAAAAGCATTCTGCAAGCAGCCAGACAATTTTAGCCTCTGGAGATTCATAATAATAAGTCTGCCCTGGTTAACAGGTTACAAGATGACAAAGCACATGTACTCTCCCTGCGAAGCTCTGCCCTTACACAAGGCCTGACTCATTCGGTGTGAGTTACAATTTCCAAATGGTTGCACATGGACTTGCAGGAGAACAGCATATGCATAAAGCACCCTTCCAATATCAAAGGAACATTTAATTCTTACCCCAAAGGATTAATTCCTGTAACCAGCCTAGAATTTGCAAAACCAAGACTAACTTTACCACCAAGAGTTCTTACTTTCCGCCTTTTGTGTCGATGTGCAGTCGAGAGTCATCCTCAATTGGTTCATAATTCTTGGACCAAACAAACTTAGAGTTTGGAGACATCTGATCACATTCAAAGTTTAAGGAAATGACTCCATTATCATCTACGTCAACCACCACTTCTTTAGTTCCTGAAAGATCAGAAAAAGGCAATTCCACTTGTTTAGAGAAACCAGCAAATTTACATACATATACATACATAGACTGGGTTAAGCAGGTCCTTGTCCTTTTCTCAGCCTGCAAACATTAGTACCTTAATCTTTGATTCTTGACTAAAATTCTTATTGTAATCCATAAAAACATGGAGAAAATTAAAGAACACCAAAAATCATTTGATCTGTATGAGCACACATGAGAGTTATGGCATTTGCTTTGGAAAAGTCTGAAGAGGAAAAAAAAAATTGAGCCACTAAATGTTTAAATCCACTAAATACTTAGAATAGCAACAGCAATATTTTCCATGGTAATGGATAACTAGAGATTTCTTTTTGTAGCAAAAATTTCTCATCCTCTAGTCATGCAAGAGCTCTGAGAACAGCAACTGCCAAGGTGAGTGTTTGGAGGGGTGAAAGAGGAAAAAGAGGAAACCATTAAGTTGCCCCAGCTGCATAAGGCATCTTTACAGTGCCTCAGGAAAGTTGGTTTGATCACTGCACTTGGCATCTGGCCGTGCTGCAGTCTGGGCCCAAAAAGGAAAGGAGCACTTGCAACTAGCTGCTGAGTTGCCCACCTTTTTTTGTCAGCTCCTATGGTCCTCGAGCTGGATAAGGTGTGTGCTAAAAACACACTGAGGGTGAATCACAGACCAAAAAATCTGAGGGTATCTCAAGACTGCCCCATGCGCGTTGATGCGGCTGGGAAAACTTCATTTGGGATTCAGGTGGTTCTGCAGTCTTGTCATCCATGGTGTTAACTTGCACTTCAACAGCTTGTCTGGGAATGTCACTCAGAGCCTGTGCATTAGGAGGTGTTGGAGACCATCCAGCTTCCTTTTCTGAATGGCTTTGAGTTGGACCTCACATCTGAATAGGGCTCTCCAGTTATTTAGTTTAAGACAATCCTAGGCTGCCCAGAATGCTAATGACACCCTTTCCTCCACAAGTACGGTACCTTAAAGACAAAACCCTTACTCCTGACATTGAAATGCAATGCTTTATTTTCAGCATAGTTCTTAAAGAGCCTCCAAAGTACAAGGAGCATTCTGTGTCTTCTCATCGTAATACTATACACGTCCTCTCCAGCACAGTGAGTAGCTCCTGTACCGAGAATCTGTATACGTGCAGCCTTCTTATTCTTTATAACTTGCTATAACTGTTTAATGAAAGAAGAGATTGATATTCATGTTTTGGTACTATTATTTACCAGCCTGCACAGTAACGAAGCACATGTTAAGCACCAGTGTATGATAAATGAAGCCTGAGGTCTATAGATATCTTACTAGGCAGCAGCATTTTTGAAAAATTTTTATGAAGTAATTTATTATATAGAAATTCATCACTTCACATTTCATTGGCTCGATGGCAGGGTGCAGAGAGTGGTTGTCAGTAGTGCGGAGTCCAGCTGGAGGCCTGTACTTAGTGGTGTCCCCCAGGGGTCAGTTCTCGGTCCGGTCCTGTTCAACTTATTCATTAACGACCTGGATGAAGGGCTGGAGTGCTCCCTCAGCAAGTTTGCTGATGATACCAAACTGGGTGGAGTAGCTGATAGCCCTGAGGGCCTTGCTGCCATCCAGAGGGACCTGGACAGACTGGGTGACTGGGCGGTGAGAAACCTCATGAGGTTCAACAAGGGCAAGTGCAGGGTCCTGCACTTGGGGAGGAATAACCCTGGACACCAGTACAGATTAGGCGTGGACCTGCTGGAGAGCAGCCCCGCAGAGAGGGACCTGGGTGTCATGGTGGACGACAAGTTGACCATGAGGCAGCAGTGTGCCCTGGTGGCCAAGAAGGCCAACGGGATCCTGGGGTGCATTAAGAAGAGCGTCTCCAGCAGGTCGAGGGAAGTGATCATCCCCCTCTACTCAGCCCTGGTGAGGCCACATCTGGAGTACTGTGTCCAGTTCTGGGCTCCCCAGTACAAGAGGGATGTGGAGCTGCTGGAGAGAGTCCAGCGCAGGGCTACCAGGATGATCAGGGGCCTGGAACATCTGCCCTATGAGCAAAGGCTGAGAGAGCTGGGCCTGTTCAGCCTGGAGAAGAGGAGGCTGAGGGGGGACCTGATCAGCGCGTATAAATACCTCAAGGGAGGCAGTGAGGAGGAGGGGGGCGGCCTCTTTTCAGTGGTGGGCAGGGATAGGACTAGAGGAAATGGCTTCAAACTGAAGCATCGGAAGTTCCACAGGAACTTAAGGAAGCATTTCTTCACTGTGAGGGTGACAAAGCACTGGAACAGGCTGCCCAGAGAGGTTGTGGAGTCTCCTTCTTTGGAGATCTTTAAAACCCGCTTGGATGCAGCCCTGTGCCCCGTGCTCTAGGTGACCCTGTGTGAGCAGGGGGGTTGGACTCGATGACCTCTGAGGTCCCTTCCAACCTTCGGCATTCTATGATTCTACGATTAGTGTTTAGATCCTCTAGATCATTTGTACATGAATCGTTTGATGGCAGTTTATGCAACATGCAAAGAACTACAGACAGAGACCCATTCAAAGGGCAGCATCTTTTATGATGTTACAGAAATCATAAAGAAATTGTGTTATGTCTCCAAAAATCATGCTGGATTTTACATGTAATATTTATATTGAAGAGTAGGAGAAAAAAAAAAAATGATCCTTTTAAAGTACTGGGCAGAGGTCTCTACCTTTCCTAAAAAGTGAAACCAAGGAGGCAGCCGTAGCAATACCAGGCTTGGTATTTCCCTTCGCAGACAGCCTGGTGGTGTCAACCTATCCCACTGCCTCTCCTAAAGGTACCATAAGAAATAAAACACTGAGATATTCTTTCAAATATTGATTATCCCCATTTAGCTGAGTGCTTTGTTACACTGTAGGGAAAGAGTTAACATTAAGATAAATCAGACTGTTATTAATAGAGAAGAGCAAGAGCCCTCCTACCAAAAGGTTCCTTTCACAAAAGCAGACAAGAGGAAGCCCCTTGGGTGAGGGCTTAGCTGGGATCCTATGATGTGATCACAGGAAGGATCACACACGTGTGTAAAGCCCTTCTGAAGTGACCGATGCAGGAGCCGATGCAGGAGCCGATGCAGGATGCAGAGGATGCAGGACTTTGCTTGGTACCTAAGCACCCAAATGTTAAGGACAGACCTGAGAAGTCCTGGGCAAGAGCTGCTGTCTGCTACAGCATTTCTCCTCTTTCCTGTGAAATGCCCAAGGACTGAATTGATTTTGTGTAAAGACAAAGTTATAGCTGAAAACTAGCCTGAATTGGAGGTTGTTTTGTGTTTTCTTTTTGCTTGCTTGTTTTTTTCTTTTTTTTTTGGGGGGGGGGTAAATTTAATTTTTAAAGATAACTGTAGAAATTGCATATTTTTTTTTTTTAAAAAAAAAAGATGGGTACAGAGTATTTCATCATTATATTTACACATTTCATTAGGTGTACAAAAATACCTATTAAAGCAAATATTGTCACTCAGGATATTATTTACCTGTGTTCTTTGACTAGAAAGCTCAATCTGCTGCTGATTTTGCACACTTTACTAAAGCAACATTACAGCAACATTCCAGCAGGGATTCTCTAAAAAAGGCCTAAGAATATTTTGTCTCCATCCAAGACCTTAATAATGGCAACATTCATTGGGTGACACACCTCCCAAAGATTTGGGGTAATTTGAAAAAATGGTATGATTGTTCTTGAGATTTGTGTGATTTGAGTCAGAAAGGTGAAATCCTGCCCAAGAGAAAGTTTTAGTAAGCCTTTTGTCTTTTCTTAATGCTTTTAAGACGCTTATTGTGATGGGTCTGGCATCTGCAGAGCTGAGCTCCAATATGTTTACATTCATATTTCATTGGAACTATAGTTACAAGAAAAATCTCTATTTAGTACATTTGACCATTGCTATCATACAAGTTTCTATCCTAAATCTGTCAGGCAAATATAGACCCTGAAAACAAATGGAATAATAAAGCCAAAAGCTTAGTAACAAAAACTGAATTTGTAGAGTTTTTTTATCGTCCTGATCTTAGTAGGTCCTTTATTTATGTAGGTATTCATAGATATATACACATCTACACATAGATATATACGAATGTATTGTGTTTTGATATTCCTGGACAGGTATTTATAATAGGAAAAACTGATCTGATCTTAAAAAATATCTGAAAAACAAAGACGTGATCCTGAACTCTCTTCCTGTGTAGTAAACAAGCCTAACTTGAGAGGGGTCAGATTCTTGGCATGCAGGCTGTGTACAAGCACACTGCCCAAACAGGAGCCTACTTAAATAAGATGCAAAGGAGGGATTTCTAACAAACCTGGTCGTGTTTCAGCTACAACAGGATCAGTGGCATCTGATGGTTTCCCAACACCAGCCTGGTTTGTTGCCCGCACGCGGAACACGTAGCTCACACCTTCCTTGAGGCCACCTATCTGGAGAAAGCAAACACAGGAACATGATTTGCTACAAGACACTGATACTACCTTTTCACTTCTTACAATACCAGTTTGGATACTTGACAACTACATTTTCTTTCTCTTTTCTTTTCCTCTTTCCAGTTTAAAAATATTTCTTCCTCATTTTTGTTTTTTCAATCCTAGAGTGACGTGATTAATTTGTTTGGTTTGCTCCTTCCTTGTATGCATAGTTAACATTTAGACAGTGCCATAACTGTTACTCATTTCTTTGAAAAGGAACATTAAGAACGGAACAGGATGTTTTTAATTTATGACTGCTGACCTCTGAAACCATATAGCCTTTTACTGCATGTCAATTCTGGTGTTTAAAAATAAAGTTCTTGGGGTAAAAGTGCTTGCCACTTTATAAACAGGAGATTCTTTATTTAATTGTGATGATTTGAGCAATCATATGGAATTTAAATACTTGTAAATATCCCTGGGTATGAATGGATAAGAACTTGGAATATGAAAGCATGAAAGGATAAGAACTTGAAGTGAACATCTTTAAAATTATCTGAAAAGCATAGAAATGGCAGCTACTTCAACTGATCCCTTCTTGAGAAGTCATTCAAAAAATAATGCATCATAGTTAAGGAAAAAAATAGTTTAACTTGTAGTGAAATGTGAGTAGAGGGTACTATATAAGCTTATCACAGCTTCTTTTTTGTTGTTTAGCTTCTTTGTGTTGTATTGTAATGCCTGTGTTCCACTTCGGACTATAAAAAGCTAGGGATGTCTTCTATGTTATAAGAACAGTATTTGGTTTTAGTATTGCTTACTTTTATTTTTAGGTTTCTTTCGCCAGATTCTCTTCCAAGTTGATCTTGTCTGACTCTACTAGTATTACATAGATGTGTTCTAGACACAACATAACCTACCAAGTGTTTAATCGTATGGGAACTTGAGCAAAATGCAATTGTATATCTAATATTGACTTCCTCGGGGTTGCACTAAGACCTGTATTTGAATCTTAAATGGTTGTACCTTCAAATATTTCTTTTGAAGTGGCTTCTCATTGACACTTCTCCAGTGTTCCTCTGTTGCTTCAGTTTCCTTTAGATCAACATAATAACCAGCTATAGGACTACGACCAGTATAAATTGGCTCCTTCCACAATAAAACCAAGGAATCTTTCCTAATTTCTATGCATTCAAGATCATGAGGTGGCCCTGAAAGGCAAGAATAAAAGTTACAGTTGTAGTTACTAAATAAAGCCCAAAGGGGGTTAATGCATAAAGACTTCAAAAACCCAAACCAAGCACCACTTTCTATATTCAGAGCTGACATAACAGGTGCAGTTCTATTGTATCAGATCTAAAACAGATATAAACACAACTATAGTATTAAAAAGACCAACCCAACAAACAATCCATTTTTTTGAGATTTGGTATCTTGATCAAATATTCATTAACAAACAAAAATGACAAATAATCTCCAAAGTCAGGGAGAGAAGTTAACTATTAAGCTAATATTCTGCTTCAAGGCCTCTTCTAAAGTCCACTGAAGGCAATGGAGTTTGTTTTCATTTATTCCTAGGAGTGTTAAAAGGCAAGTGACCCGGCCTTGCAGTGATCTGTTTAGACAAGGGTTATAGGATCTCATTCTTCCCTTCAGTGTACCTTAGACAGACATTTATGCCTGCAATTTAAACTGGGAAGCTCAGCTGGGAGCTGGCAGACACAGTACAGAAGTCAAGCAGGAAAGATAAAGAAAACACAATCTCCTTGTAAAACGTTACCAGTTAAAAGGGAGTTGTTTAATGCATCTGTATAAATATAAATATAAATATAAATATAATAAATATAATCTCCACAGCACTGGAGATACAAGCTTGGATATGAACTTCGATTTCTGAAGATTGAGGGCATTGAGAACATAGGGGTTTGGCCCCCAGGTACTCCCTGGGCCTGTGAGTAATCCCTTCTCTCTGATCCTACCTGGTACAGCAATGGTCCATTCTTCACATTTGAAGGATTTACTGGGTGGGGAGGGTGTCCCAACCCCAGCCAGGTTAGCAGCAGCAACTTGGAACTGGTACACCATGTTTTCCTTCAGATTTTGAATCTGTGCAATCAAGAAAATTACATCTATTAACTTGGGATTAAAGCTTTAAGAGGAAGCCACAATGCCAATTAATGAAAGTACTGGGCCCAGTGCTGTTCAACTTGTTTATCAATGCTTGAGCAGGAAGGTTGGACTAGATGATCTGTAGAGGTCCCTTCCAACCTTAAATATTCTGAAATATTCTGAAATATTCTGAAATAGTAATAATGTAATAACATCGACCACTTAATAGCAAAGATTCTTAAAAAAATACAAGAAAAATGCCTTTGTCCTAATCTGACTTTGAGATCTGTTTCAAAAACACTATTTACATAATTCTAGTACACCCAAAGCAATAACAAAGGTTAACTTCTTACCCTGTATGCCCTCTCACTAACAGGCTTAATGTTGGCCTCCATCCATTTCCCAGGAACTCCACCAATTACTTCACGATAGTTCACATAGTAGCCAGTAATTTCAGTTCCACCAGTGACTTTAGGTTGTTTCCATCCCAGTACCATTGAGTCACGCACGCTCTCAAGTACCGTTATGTCATAAGGTGGAGATGGAGCAGCTGTTTCGACACGAATAACACATAAATAGGAAGCAGTATTTTATTAGCAAGACAGGTATTCAGTTATTATTGTGTCCAGGTAGCCCCATCCTGCATTTCCTAATAAGAAAAATGGCTCAGTGTGGTCAAGGAAAATTCTGCTGGAACACGAAACGCAGGATAGAAGCTTCCATCGACCAAATGGAAAAAACAAAAACCAAAACAAAATGCACAAACCACATTGGATTTAATTTTCAAGATCATTTGTCTTTCGAAAAGCAAGCTGATAAAGAGTGAAAAAATGTGTTGCAATTGCAGCACTCATGTAAGTGATCAGGATTTACTTTAATATTGTGAAGAACAAGGAAATAAAATTAACATAAAAAGTTAAAATTGGTGATGCAATGATTTGTTTTCTTTTGGTGAAAGAAAACTCTTTTTCACGCATGCAATATTTGTTTTAGTTCCTTTTTTTAATAAGCCCACATTCTTCCTACCTCAGAATGCAGGTTATCTGCTCATTCTTTCTTCTCTATTTTTTATTTTTAATTTATACACTGTTCAAACATTATCATTGCACCCTTCATATTATCTTACCTTAACGGCAGGAAGCATGATCATAGCCACTGATCAGATACGGAATATGTCTGTTACTGGAACTTACTTTAAAAGAAAAATGCAGTACAGTCCTCCTTTTTATTACGTTTTAACAATACAGAAATCATGAATCTCATCGTAAAAACTACACTCATTTTCTTCTAATGACGTTTCTATATCAGATTTTGTTACCTTCACATACACATAATGCAGAGAGTAGGTATCTGAGAACAAATTACTGAAGTGATTAAGAAACCATACATTACTTTGGATACATTAATATGTAATCAAACAAGCTATTTAAGTAGTAAATGGATGATAATGTTTCACCGTCAATAGCCACTAGATATATGAAGTGGTCTCTGATACCGTGACATGCATAATGATCTTAATGGAGAGCTGAGCATATAATTAAGGGCTCTGATGGAAAATGCATTATTGAAAAAAATGTTCACATGTGACGTGGATGAGCAGAGGTTACATATGTCTGAAGTAAATGTACCAAGGCAGTGAAATCTGGTTATTTTAGTAACTCTCACCTATATCTTTCTTCTCTTTCACCTTTTCCAGTGTCAAAGGATCCCCAGGTCGAGACTTACTTGCCTGCTTAGCAGCAACATTTTGTGGTGCAGATGTGGTAGCATCCTGAACCATTTCTCTCGTGTAATTGTCTCCTGTGTTTCCCAGTTTGTCAGAGCTACTGGGTAGTGTGTCTCTATTAAATTTAGCATTGCATTTTAGCAAAGCATCTGTGTCAAAGATAGGCTGGGAGGACTCATGCATGCCTTCCCAACTGGTAGTGCAGTCTGTTAGTCCACCAGCTTTACCACTCAGTTCAGGACACACACCATGAAGCAATCCTCCCCCTATAATTGCCAGAAAACAGCAAAGACACGTTAAATTAGAAGGCATTGCTTTTTCTTCACTTGCTCGACAGAATTAAGAAATGCACACAATGAACAATACAGACAAAATATAACAAATCACTTTTTTTTTTTTTTTTAAACAGACAGAATGCAAAGCTTGGATTCACAAACATTTGAAATGCATAGAATACCTCTCAACCTCCTCACAAGTAATGCTCTTTTAATATTGTCTATATTTCAAAGCAGAAGAATTATGGAACATTAATACTTATCTTCATTTGTTCATTTTAGCATTAGCTAAAGAGAGCATTAGCATTAGCTCTTCCAGGTTGTATTTATGATTTTTTCAAAACAATATCACAAAAAGTGCCTTTGGGCCACATTATTCTGCTTTAAAGTTGTGAGATATGCAAGTTTGATGCAAACAAGAGTGAGGATGTTATGGACATACAACTTGTCTTAGTCCAACGAGCTCATTAATCTTACGGATTAGTTCAGGCAGTGGCAAACAGAAATAACTCATTCACAAAGGCAGAACACACAGAGTTATAAAAGGCTTACAAAAAAAGCACTGCAGCATTTATTATTAGGTTGAGGTATGGAAACAGAGCTCTTAGGAATTGTCTTTATATAGGATGGTGTGTATTAGAGATGATAAATACCACATTACGGAATCAGAATGGCATTCCAGTTTCCAGGATTACTGTGAGGAGAACTTGGCAGTGCTCTCTTACAGTTGTTCACAAGAAACACCTGAAGAAGACTGGATGGTGAAGGTGAACAGTGCAGTGACTGTGAAAGTATGGCTGTGAGGCATTATATATGATCTACAAGTAGATCATTATTTGTGGACAGCATTGTAAAACCAGGTAATTAGTTATAAATAGTTGCTAAAATCATCTTTGCTGTAAAAAAAAAAGTACGTTTGGCACTGAATGGAGCTTACCAATGGCTGCTTGCACTTCTATAGGCTCCGATTCCTGTGAAAATTCACTGAGTCCAGCTGCATTAACAGCTCTGACTCTGAAAACATACTTCTCACCAGTGACAAGCCCATGGCAAATGAATCTAAAGAAAACAGTAGAAGAATACTCAGATAAAGAAAAAAAAAAAAAAAAAGACATAGGCACTGAAATGACAATGCAGGATGTACCTAAGCACTTCATTCACACTAATAAGATAATGTCTAAAATGCATTTCCTTAGACACAGCCTTTTTTTCCCTTATATCTATTTCCAACTAAGACTACAAGATTCATGTGTGCCTAGAGAGTCCATTTTCTGCTCAGTGCTGGAATCCAAAATCATACCTGCCGATGGGAACAATGCAGAAATCTGTAGAAATTATATATGTGTATATAAATATGCATATATATTCATACACACACATATTATATAAGTATATATATATATATAATAGATATATTTGCTCGTGTGCAAATATATAGCTAAAAGATACCTGGTTAGCACAAGTTCATTACAAAAAAAATACAGCGTTCACAAAAATCACCATGCATTGTAAAAGAGCAAGAAATAAAGTGTCAGATTATCAACTTAAATTTCCTGAATCCTGAATGAAATTTTCCGAGTAGAATTTTCAGTGGCCATGCTATAAGATTTTTTTCAAAGCACCTTTTTTTTTGCTGGATATGTATAGAACACAAAATACAAAATATCAAAATTTAGGCCATAATGCAAACAACAAGCTACAGCTACTGTTTTGACTGATTCAACCAGAAAAGCCAATATTTAATATGACTTAACAGACAGCTTGTGCATGCCTCTATCATAAATTAGATGCCATAGATAAAAAAAAATGCAGTAATAGGAACCTAAACAGTGTAATTACAATAACAATATATATCAATTCAGCACATTTTTTTTTGTTGTTTTAGGCTGAATAATGATCATGTTTACAAATCTTGAAATAACCACATGGTACTAAACTCTACCAATGCTTTATTTAATCACAGTATAAATCAGGGAAATGTGTGAAAGTATATAATAATGGCAAGCACAGCATCTGCAATTATGTGCACAAAAGAAGACTTGAATGGAATTCTCACAGATGTGATCAAGAGTGCTTTTTTTTTTAGGAGCTCTTGATACTTTCAGCATTTAAAATGCATTTCTAAACAAAGGATTTGGTCCAACAACATTTCGCAGAGAATTTCTTTTGCAATAAAAACAATCATGGGTAGTAATTACAAATAACCATAATCAGTCATAACAAATAAGGGCTGCTTATGGGGCTGACATCAGCACATTGGGTTCAAGCTCTGAAATTATTCCTGTAGACTTTAAATCTGAAATCCTTCCTCAAAGAAAACTCTCATTTGCCCTCATTTGATTTAGCTAGCAGCACGGTTTACTTTTTCTGAGTACAGATTAATTTTCATGTCAGTAAGAAAAATGAGCGTATATGCAATATTTAAATGTTCATTAGTATCAATATAATTGCAAGTGGAGGAGTAATTAGCAAGTGATAGACTGATATAGTCCAAATTTCCTCCTGATATTCTGAATATACAGTTCCAGAACTGTTTACAACAGCCTTCCAAAGGAAAGACTTTGCTTCCAAACATCACACAGTTTAGTTTTACTCACTGTAAGTTCACTCATTCCTCTCTGTACTGTTTTTCATCAGGCTGATAGGCTGCACAATGGCTAGAATTAGTGAACAGCTTCTCTTTTCTTGCTGCCAACATCCATGTTTTTTCCCCCACTGAGTAACTGTTGTTTAATCTGATCATCAATTCCTTTCAGACAACAATCCCATTCTGAAATACGTCTTCATAGCATCTTAGGAACTTCATCATGCGCGAGTGTTTCCAACCTTTGGGCTACCACAGAGCGATTACTACTGCCACTACTACTAATGGCTGGAAAGCACCAACCACTACATCACAAAACCCGGGATCATAATTTCCATTCCTTGAAATCTCTCACCTTGTGCCTTTCACCGGGTTGTTGTTGCATGGTTCCCAATGACCAGATCCAACCACACTTGACTCAATGTAGTATCCAACCAGCTCCTTGGCATCTGGAGGTTCTGTCCAAGTGACAACAACTGAGGTATCTGTATTCCTAGTTGGCATAATACGGCCAGGAGCTTTGGGTATATCTGGGGAGGGAATGAGAAATAAATTAATGGCTAACCACTTAAAAATTACGAATAATAAAATGTTTGCTGTTCTATTCTTGATTATGCTACTACAATACTCTTAACAACACTGATCTCACGCTTCCTGTTTTATATAAAATTCAAGTCCTAAGTTTATAAACTCTTCACTGTTTACAGCTATATCACCAAGTAACCTGGCACTTTAGTGATCCCACTATAAGGTGGGATCAGTAGGTTCAGGTCATTGCTTTGTTGAGGGCATTGTTTTTCAGTTTATATTTAGTCTTAGTTTCCCAGCACTGAATGTTCCACCAGAGATGTGACTGGGAGCTTTGTGAAGGGCAGAAGTTTTAGTTGTATATTGAAAGATGTTGTACAGCCTGAGTGAGTGAGTCGGAACCTAGTGTTCCTTCTAAGTACTGAAATGAATCTAGTGTTTTTCAAGAAAAGCTCTGTTTTATTCTCCTAAATCATGCACATCAAACTGCTCTGAGAACTGAAGCAATATGAAGTAAACAGAGACAATGTGGGCATTTGTTTCAAATCTGTGTTACTGTTCTGAATCAGATTGCTAAGTAAACACAGCTACTGACACTCTCCTCTGGTGAACATATTGGATTTTCTTCTAATAGAAACATTCTCTATACTCATATAAGTATTAAATTCTTCACTTTTGCTCAATTTGTTAAATAATGGCATCATTATTTGCAGTTTAACTTCCTCAGTTTGAATCCGTCATCTAACTATACATTAAAGGTTTAGCAAACCAAGTCAACATTGTCCTGATTAAAAGGAATAAATCATCAAGTACTGTTTGCACTTGGTTTAGTTATTGGACAGCTGCATGTCTTCGATGGGAGCAGTTGTAAACTTAAAAGATAGCATGGAGGTCAATTTAGAGCTACATAGGACCACACACTTACCAAGTTTGTCATCCACCACAGTAGCTTCAGTTGCTTCTGAAGGCTCACCAATTCCAGCAGAATTGCAACAGCGAACTCGGAAGCAGTAGGATTTGCCTTCAGCCAAATCAAAAACCGCAAAGCGAGGAGATTTGACGGGGATCTCCGTGTTCACTCTTTGCCAGTTCTCTGTGCCAGCGACACACTGCAATCAAACCCAGAAAGCACCTTTGAAACAAGCTCTTCGAAAGGCAGAGCGAAGCTGAGGATCTAACCTGACAGGGCTTTCTACCTGGTCACATCTGCTATGAGAACAGGCCCTCACATTCCTTTTTTTGGTTGTTCCACTGAATGCATGAATTTCAAAGCTTATGATTCAGCCAGATGATCGCCTACTCCAGAAAACACACATAGCAAGCCTACTGTTTTTAATATACCAAAACTAAGCTTCTTTCCATGCCTAGGATGTGCTGGTTTTATTACAGGAGTTTTGAATTTAGGACGACTTTCAAAAGAAGTTTTGTAGGCATTTAGCATCATCCAAAGAAGCTTTAACATCACTACGTTGCTTCCAGATGCTCTCATGACACTCCTGAGAATCATTTTGGGGTAGCTTCCAAAATTAATAAGTATTTGCCCTTCATTTTCCAGGAAAAAAAGATGCATTTAATATATCAATTGCGTTTTTTCCTATGGCTAGAAGTTCTGCATGTGGCGGTCACTCACGCTATTAAAACGAGTGATAGATTTTTTTTTTCCTGTATATTTTATGCTAAAGATTATTTCAAATAATGGATCCTTGTTTCAGAAGGAGTTCAATTTTTCATGGAAACATAAGAATATATGACAGCAGTGCTAAGTAAGCAGCATGCAATAGGTTATTAAAAATCTTTCTTATATGGACACTCAAAATCTATATATTTAACCTCTAAGTCTGTTGCTAGGTGAAATTCATTATTTAGACCAGACTTCACAGGATATAAAAACATGTAACATTAAGATATTTATGTCTCCCAGGATGACACCTCTAGATTGATATATTAAAAAAAAAAGACATTTGTGGGAGCCATGAGATGCTATTTAAAATGTTGGTACTGAAGAATATTCTAGACTAGCAGCCTCATGAAGACAGCTAAGAAAAGCAGGACATTGAAATTAAAACTAATGCTGTTCAAGAAAAGAAATTTTGTGTCATCTTTGCTGATCTGGTGAAGTAAATGGAGGAAAAACATGAAAAGCATCTCAAGAAGAAAGAGCTGATGCCAAGAAAGTCTCTAGGAGAGTGCCTCTGCACAAAACATTATTCTGTCCCACAAGTTTCATTTATTCAATTTTATATATATATATATTTATATATTTCAAAATGTTTACATACATATATATATATAAAAATTTGACTTTGTCCTGTGCTTTCTCATCATAGAGCTTGCCAGCCTATCTACCCTATGGGAGACCTGTGGCACAATTCAAGAAGGGACATCAATGCGAGACACATTCTGCATCCACTTTCCTTCTTTCTTTCCTTCCTAGTGCATCATAAACTAAAGTAACAGTCATCTTGATGAAGTGTAAAAGTTCTAGTCTTAGCCCTAGTTTGAAAGTCTCATCCAGTTATGAACTTTCGCTCAAGAGATACCAAAGCAAACGTGAAAGATTGTCATTATGTGATTTTCTTGCATTTTACCTTTTCCACAAAGTACATAATACCCTCATGGCCCCGCTGTCCAGGAGGTTTCCAGCTAAGCACAACATAGTTCTTGGTGGCTTCAATAACTTGGAGGTCTGTAGGTGGACCAGGAACAACACCCTCTGAAGAAGCAAAAAAGGAATTGAGTTTTAATTCTTTCATATTTGTGTCAGAATTAGTTCCATAATTATACTGTAATTGAAGTATAGAACAACTATACATATGCCTTAGCATCTGTTTTCATTATATATATATAAAGCTGCTGAGTTAAAAGTCATCTCAATACTAGGTTTAAATGTTCTCATTCTAACTACAAGCACGTCTGTTTATTTGGTCCTGAGTAGTGAAACATCACCTTGACAACCAAGTTTGGAGTTGTTAAAGGTCAAGTGACTCTAAGAAGAATGAACTCCTGCTGTGTGCCAAAGCCCACTGAATTCACTGGGAGCTAACCTATTTTTGTTCCCCCCATCAGCTTCTCGTTAGATTTTTGCAGGCAAAGGGATGTGCTTACCTGCAGGTTCTTCCTCAGTGACAATAATCTGTCCAGTCCAGGGAGCTGAAGGGTGACCTGAAATTGATGTCAGAGATATCATAAAAATGAGAGATACTAAAAACATGTCAAGTAACTCAGACCTGACTCTTTCATAGTTTAAAACTAGGACATTAGCTCAGTTTTTCGTCTCTACTGTGACTGTTGCTTATGTGGAGATGCCCAAGCTAGGTTTAGGGTGACTACATTGAATATTGAGAACATATGCGTAGAAAATTTTGACCCATTGAGATATATATTCCCTGCTGAAATGTCACTGAAATCACTTAGATCATAGACACAAATATTCAGCTTACTCAATTCAGGATTTTTATAAAATCAAACTATTTTCTGCATTCTGCTAACATTTAGCAGCTCACTTGGTAGAAGAACTGCCAGATTCCCTGCAGGCCGGTCTGCAAGCTGGTCTTTTTTTTATCTCAATTTTCCTCACATTACCAATTTTCAAAACACAGGTCATAGTCTCAAACAGAGATTACTCAGTGTGACTCAACATACCATATCAACTTGATGTGCTTCGGGTGGCTCTTTCAGAGTGCCTTATGTAACTAGGATGTAAAACCCCAGAATTATCACAGTTCTATGTTGAGCTATTAATGCAGGTCATGGCACTTTCAGCGATAATTTTTTAACTGCTGTTCTCCTCCTCCACGTGCTTACACCATACATTGGCTGATCTGTTTTATAAATGCTAGCAGAGAGGGGTGAAGGTGGGGAGAAAAGCAGATCATGATGAAGAAGATATATGAAGGGGAATAGGCCACCAAGACCAGGCTTCTCCTTCTGAAACAGCTTCCACATTTCCCACTAAATAAAAAAGCCTGGTGGCTTTGCATGCAGTTTAAGCAAAGAATCTCTTGACACTGGACCATTTTAAATTGTAAAACAGCAAAACTGAGTAGAAATAATTAGATTGGAGACATATAATTTTTGGCATGTGGATAGACAGGGATTTTGAAGCAACCTTTTAGTTACAATTCTCACCAAAACCTTTTTTTTTTCCTGGGATATTGCCAGGTCACAGGAAAAAGAAAGTCCTTGACTTGCAGAACACTAGCGTTAGAGAGCTTGGGCTCAGTTCTCTCTTGGGCTTTCCTGGCATTTTATAGAGCCCAGTGCAAGCCTTCAATTGTCACACAAGGACAGCGGCAGCCACCCTTGTCTGCGGTACAGAGAGAGACGATTCACGGAATCTGCTCGGCTGTTTTGTTAGGTGAACAAAAGGGGGAACAAAAGCAGCTCTCTGCCCTGCCCTGTTCCCGGTCTCCCCGCGGGCGCCGCACACGGCGCTGCCCTCAGCCCAAGGACTAGGGCTGTGTGCCAAGAGCACCCAGACAGCCATTTTGTTTTGGTGTTGCTCCCTCTAGTGGGATTTCGAAGGCTTACGAGTAAGCAGTCACGAATTTTCCACTGGTTACAATTTCTCAGTATGTTTAAATAAATAAATAAAAACTAAACTAAACTAAACTAAAATAAACTAAACTAAACTAAACTAAAATAAAATAAAATAAAATAAAATAAAATAAAATAAAATAAAATAAAATAAAATAAAATAAAATAAAAGTAAACATAAAATATTCCATACTTCTAAGCCTGGCTCTGTCAGCAGGATCCAGTGCAGCCACCGGCTCAGACACCCGGGATGGGAGGCTGATGCCGGCTTTGTTGACAGCTCGCACTCGGAAAATATAGGAGCGGCCCTCAATGAGGCCAGTGACGGGAAAACGGGCAAACTTCACCGGAGTCTCATTGCACTGGGTCCAGTGGGTGGTGCCAATCTCACATCTGAAAAAATACAAACAGCAAGAGTAGGACTGGGAAGGAAAAAATGCCAACTCAGGCTACCCTCCCTGTTACAGTTTCACCATCTGTTCACATCCACTGGCTCAATCCCACCAGTTTCTGCAGCAGTGTTACACACTGGTGACAGCAAAGCAGCTGCACGAAGGGGTCAGGGCCCACGTGCCACGTGGGAATGCACTAAATCCCTTGCAGCTGAGCTCCTTCTTGCCTGAATTGAGGAAGAAACCTAAAGCTATTCACGAGCAGAACTCGCTCACTGTTCAAACCCTTCAGCTGTGCAGCGGGATCTATAGGGAGCATCAGGTTCAGCACACGCAGCCTTGGCAGTCTCCAGAAGCCAGCTAGATCATCTTACATGCACAGCGCTCCATGGTCTGCTTTACTGTAAATCTGGCAAAATAACAGTCTTTACAGGGCATGGGAAGCTCTGCTGTGAGTTCAGTGTCCAAGCTACTACCTACATGGTCTCTGTAAGACCCTACTTCAAATGCCACTTGGACTGCCCAGGAACATTGAGGTTTGGTCACAAGCCTGGCAGAAGTGGAGGTGGTCGGTGTCTCGCTCCTGATAACCCTCACAAACAGCTGATTTGGGCTGGAGGAAGAGAAAACCAGCAGCAGCAATGGCAGAGATTTGAGCTTAGACAAGCAGAAGTGCCATTGCAGGCAGCTTCCCAGTGCCAGGGAAGTGGTCAGCATAAGTACAAAGTAGCAGCTCGGGAAAGACTTTTTACTGGTTCTGAGATATTTATTGAAGTTAATGTGTCAATACTTACCTAGATTTCTTAGTATGTCTTAGCATTCATTTTCAAAGCAATGTCATTTTCTCACTCAGGGCAGATTTGTGGTTCAGACACCTGCCTGGGGCTAAGGATGCCCGAGTTTTGATTCTAGCTTTAGCAGACTCTACTTATTGCTTTGGGCAACTCAGTCACACTCCTAGATGGTAGCCTATCTGAAAACTCAAGTGCCTGAATATATTTGGTAGTATTTAGCCCTTTGTATTTTCTTTATGGATATCTTCCTTGCTATATACTCTGAGGAAGGTAAGTGCTATCAAGACCATCTTGGCACGTAGAGAATTTGAGATTTGCCAAAGGTCATGTGGGAAAAATCTGTAATAATCCGGAGACTAGTATCAGATAGTATCTTCTTGAGCGTTACATTATGAAAGTGTGCTGGTTTGGGCAGGTGGATCTAAAGATATATTGCAGCTCAAACAATACAGAAGTTTTGTACAGTACTGTAGAAAGAAAGAAAGAGATGAGTTTTGCCCCAGAGAGACCACAAGAAAAAGTGTTACTGCTGCAGGTGTAAAGAGTATGACAAATAAATATGCAAAGAAGGAAAAAAGAAGGAAAATTTTGGATTTACAAAGCTTAGCAATATGGATTTCCCAGTTTAGCATGCTCACTGACCTGTCAATGAAATATCCAAGGATGGGGTTTCCTCCATCAACAGCTGGCTGCTTCCAGGAAACAATGACATAATCTTTGTTGGCATCTAAGCACTGCACATCCAGTGGTGCACCAGGAGCGCCTGGGATTTCAGCATCGGCATCTGTCAGGGTATAAACATGCATTTCCAAAAGTGACCCAAAAGTTCTTCCACAATTGCTCTTCAGGGACTACACTCTGTATTTCCTGAGCCAAAAAAACCTTTCTGGCCTCTGAAGTGTTTGTTTTTTTCTCATCTACATTTTTCTAGGTTTTGTTTTCTCTCTTCTCAGCATTTACAATATGCTCTAACACATGCTGTAATGTAATTGATATAGGCATTTGAATAAAATTAGGAACATACATTTTGATTAGGTAGCTACCAGAGACACAGCTGAAGCAAAAATGTGGTAGACTCTATTCACCCGCTATTCTAGTTAGAAATACAGGCTGACATTTTGCCTTCCAACCACGCAATAGCTCAGTCAAAATTATTCAACCATATTGCAGTCTTCTAGGAAATGCACTTGCCTTTCTTGACCTAACTGCTATGTACTCCCATGAAAGTACTGATTGACTAAAACTTAAAAAAATAGAGCATAGTGCCTGGCACAGGGGAATTACTTTCCAGCTCTCATTTGTGAGATGGAGGTGGTATTCTTGTGGGGAAAAAATAACCCTTGCAAGAAGATTATATCAAAGACTTTCAAAGAAGGGAGATTGTTTCCCTGCATATGAACATCAATTTGTACAACTACAAGTGGCATTTTCCAAGCTCTGTTGTGAGCTACTTCAAAAGAAAGCCCATAATAGACGAGACGCAGACTTGGAGGAAAATTATATTTTGCTAGTAAACATTATTCTTACATTCCATATAAAACCAAATCAGTTCTTTTAAAATGTTTGATGTTTCAGGGCACCACAGCATTTTCTATTATAATATGCAGCATTTCCTAGTTTTTAAGCTCCCAGTTTTCAGAAGCTTACAAGCTTATTTAATATACTTAATTTAAAAAAAAAAAAAAAGTGGTCTTCAGAAAAGACACTTTATGTTTTTACAGGCATGGTAGCATGACATGGAGCTTTTGAAGCCATGCCAAAGTTATTGAGTATTGGTTCAAGTTACAACTAACTACATATATTTTAAAAATATATATGTAATTAACAAAGGAAGCAAGTCATTTTAAATTAAAATTGTGAAAGACAACCTGTTTTCAGTGATCTCTATACAAAAGGGTTTAATTGCCCATATTTACCACTTGACAGAACACAAGACACCACAGTTTCTTTCCAAGTCAGAATGGGAAGTATCTGTGACAATTAGGGCTGCTCACTGGTTTCAGAGGCCTAGAATTTCATCCCTGGCTGCTTACTGACAAATACTGACTTGTAGCCATGGCAGAAAAGCAACAAACCTCTCTGCAAGCCTAGGATTATGAGCCTGGTTAGTGTGCTGCACCCTGCTCTCTTCCCTCAGTACCCCAGGATTACTATTTTTTTGCAGAAGGACAACTTGTATTTAAATACTATAGCTAACTGTTTGCAGCGACTTTGCATACATATCAAGAAAATCAGTGAAGAATATACAAGCTCACTGAGGCTGCAAGGAGCATATAAGCAAAAGAGTGAGAATGTAATTAATCTAATTAGAATTTGGCAAATCCACCAAACAAAAGATACTCTTGTGAAAGTGACTACGGTTCACAGCCAGTTCATACCTTTATCACCAAGAGATGCAATAGGAACAAACCCAATAATTTATTCTTTGGTAGCATAATCTAAAACAAAGCAAACAGACAAGTCCTGTTTTCTATCCCCTTATTACATAGGAACCAATGCTTATTTCCACAGGCTCTTTCTTCAACTGATGAAACATCTGCTTCAGCAATGTTTCCTCAATCTGCTATTACCTGTGTCTCACTGAGCCCTGGACGTGGGGCTAGACCTACATCTAGGCATGCTCTGAGAACCCAGAATATCCACTGTCCTTTGAATTAACATTACTTGTTTCAGCTGCTTTTAGCAGGCAGGACAGATATAGAATGAGTACCCAATAATCTGATAGCCCAGGCTCTTCTTAAAGATATATTCTCTCTAATAGAATTTTAAGGAAGAATTTCATGGTAAAAGGAAATAAAGGAAATAAAAAAAAAAAATGGAAAATAAGGAAATAAAAACCAGGGAATCCCTACACTTAAATTAATGTGACAGCCTTGCTGCTTTACTTCAGTGTATCACAGAGTCACAGAAGAGTTTTCAGATTGGAAGGTTTCTCTGGACACCATCTAGTCCAGCCGCCCCCCTGCTCAAAGCAGGGCCAAGCAGACCAGGTTACTCAGGACCATGTCCAACAGGTTTTCAGTATCTCCGCAAAGACAGAGATTCCATTGCATCTCATTCTGTCACTGAGCACCCCCAAGAAGCGTCTGGGCCTGTCATCTTTACTCTTCCCTGTCAGGTATTTACACATTGATACAATCCTCTTGAACCTTCTCTTCTCCAAGTTGAACAGTCCCAACAGCCTCAGCTGCTCCACGTATGTTTGAACTTCCAAACCCTTAATCATCTTTGTGACCCTTTGCTGGGCTTGCTCCAGTATGTTCGTGTTCCTCTCACACTGGGGAGCCCAGCACCTGACACAGCCCTTCAGATGTGATCTCAGCAGTGCTGAGTAGACAGAAGCATCTCTCAACGTGCTGGCAAAGCTCGGCCTCATGTGGCCGAAGATGCTGCTGGTCTTTGCTGTGGGAGTACAAGGCTTCGAAGAAGAACTTTTTTACTGTGAGGGTGACAGAGCCCTTGAACAGGCTGCCCAGAGACGTTGTAGAGAGGATCTTCCCTGGAGATCTCTCAAACCTGCCCAGACCTGCACAGAGCACCTGTGCACCGTGCTCTGAGTGTCCCTGCTGGAGCAGGGGGGTTGGACTAGATGATCTCTAGAGGTTCCTCCCAGTCTTAACTATTCTGTGATTCTGCAGTACATTGCTACCTGATGTTCACCTTGATGTCCACCAGGACCACTGGATCATTTTCTGTCAAGCTGCTTTTCAGTTTGTTGTCCCCACCCTGTACTGGTGCATGGGACTATTCCTCCCCAGCAACAGGACTTTGCATTTTACTTCTATTGCATTTTTTTCCTCTGTATTTTCATCAAAAGAGTGAGTTTTAGCCAGTGTTGGGACGTTTACAGAAATATATTTCAAAGTTATTGTCTAGATTTTTTTTCGTGATGATTCGTGTTTAGTATTACTCATGGGTTGAAACTGTGACGGGGATGTGATATTACGTCCATACCCCAAATTCCCTCCACAGAATATCAATATGGCTTAGAAGAAATCTTCCAGTATATGTCTCCCAGCTTCAGGTATGTATAACGCATAGCCAGAGATAACAACTGAAAGTTATACTGCTAGAAAATAGCTGTTGTTAGAAAATGATAATGTTTTGAGGGGGGCTAAAAAAGTCTGAGACTGATTTTGCCTGCAGTTTTTCCTCATTTCTCTAGTGAGTCTGCTGGGTTCACAAGGCGTTATCCTACCTCGAACAAAGACATAGCCACTGTACTCCTCATAGTATTCTCCCATCACCACACGCAGAGTGTAAAGACCTTCATCCTCCTTGTTTGCATGAGTCAATGTTAATGTAGCTCGCTCCCCGCTCCAGTGCATCTGCACCCATTTGGATGGTGTAATAAGAACACCTAGAAATTAGAGAATTATTTGAGAATTGGTTGAATCTACAGTTCATTCTAATGAATCTATTCTACAAAGGGTTAGGAAATACAGAAGAATCAATGCAGCTTTCCATCTTCAAAGACAATGATAAATTATACTTATTTCTGTTCTCATGTCAATTTTGTCTTCATTTGCAAACTTTAACTTCAGGAAGTAACGTTTTTTATGATCTGTTGCACAACAGCTTTGTGCAATTACTTTAAAAATGTCTTAGCATATACATAAGGAGTAAAAGCTATATGTGCTGTACAATTCCTGTCACATCAATTTTGGAGCTAGCTGAAAGGCTTTCAATTCTAAAATTTTACAAATGTCTAAATTTCTAAAATTTGTAAAATTTCACAGTCTTCCTTCCTTCCATTTTCCAGCCATGGAGCTCATTATTTTCACTTCAAAATGGAAACTTTAAATTAAAAAGGAGAAAACATCATTTAGAAGGCTGAGAAAATGATGATCAATTCACAACATTCACATATACTGAACTAAGTAAAGATTTAAGTCAAAGTTTATATTTTTTCTCATCAAGCATTCTCACCATTTCTGTACCATTCGATGTCTGGTTTGAAGCGCTTAATATCAGGATTGATGACAACTGTGCAACCCAGGCTCATTGTCTCGCCTTCTCTCCCAAAGGTGACATCAAACTTGTCAACAAAACTGATTTCAAACCTGGAAGCAAACCCATGTGGGGTAACACCAACTGTAGAAAGGAAAAACAATCTGTCTGTTTACTTTTCCTCTTTTTGTAGGAAGACTAGAAAGCAAAAGTACCTGATGTTTATGAATATAACCTCAGGTAAAGTCTGAGTTGTAAAGAGAAAAATAAAAATTGAGTTAATAGTATTCTAAGGTAGTTGCTGTAGCAAATAATGCAAGCCATAGCTAATACAGAAAATCAACTGATTTCTTTAATCGTATAACTCTAGTTCTTACAGTCAGTTAATTTTACTAGTGGACTGTTCCATAATTTTATTTCATTTTTTTCAGAATTTCAGGTCCAGCATTTTATTACTTGGTTACATGAATTATTTTATAATTTTAAAATACTTGTTTCTTTTCCTGCTTAACTCTTTGCAACATCTCAAGATGCTCATTTTGATAGCTTATATAAGTCTTTTCTTGGACTCTTTATATAAAATGAGGCTTCTGTTTCCCTGGACATTTGGTTACCTGCTCCTGCTGAAACAGTTTATCTTTCCTAATGTTGTATCACCTAAGATATGCAGTATTGCAGATGGATTTTTTAAGTGCTTCGTACTTTTTCTTCACACACATGGTTCAGGTGCTTCCCTAAATTATTCTGAAAACACCTCAGCTGATAAAACCTAAGGTCACATAGTTCTCCTCCACAATTGCCTTATACCAATAGCTCACAGTCTTCCTATGATCAGAATATATATAAATCTTCCTATTCCTTTTTGATTACCGAACAATAAATCTCAAATTATATTTGAAGTTCTTGGCCTACCATATTGTATGTAATCTTATTTCTGTTATTTTAGAACTTCCGTATTTAGCCTTCCATGCAAGGGCCCCATGGCACTTAACAGACATGTTGTATGTAGGTGGGTGGATTTTCTTAACAGTTCTGATTATGAAAGTGTTTATGCGACACTGTCAATCAGTTCAAAATGTGAGGCCAGTTTCTCAAGTAAAACCAAATTACAATTTGTGCATTGATATACCCAAATTTCAGATTTTGTTCTGGAGATCTTTGTTATGCATCTTCACAACATATGGAATCACACAGACAAGAACTTTACTAGTTCTTGTCTAGTAAAAAAGACTACTTTTTCTAGTCTACTCACAAACACGCACCCTCCCCACCAGCACTTTTATCCAGGATGTATTTTACATTTTGCAAACTGTCCATCTACCCCATCAGCAGATTTTGTTCCAGAGCCACACCAACATTAAAAGGACTGTCACAAAATATCCTCTCCGTTTGCATCCCCCTGTTGAAACTAGAATAATGGATGTTTCTTATACAAGCAAATAAAAATAGCCACACACCCAGAAGGTAATGCCATTTTCACTTACAGATAAGGCTAGAAACATCCACAGCAGTAGAGCCCTTTCCAAATGAGACCTGTTTTCTTTTTTAAATAAAGCTACAAAATATTCTGCTTAGTCATTTAACATGATGTTACAAAATAAATAAATCTGTCAAACAAAGAACTTACAGCCCATAGGCATAGTGGCAGTTCCAGCATGTAAAAGACGTGCATCAATTTCTCCTTTGTATCCTAGATGTGCATATAAAAGAAGAGAAACTATCACCTTAAATAAAAAGCACTCTGAGCCATAAAAATGAAACTGGTAATGTGCATCTTACAAAAAAAAAAAAAAAGAAATGTTTTGCAAACCTACTCTTTACCACAAGAGACGCGTAAGCTGAAATCTCTCCTTTAACATTCATAGCAGAAGCATGATACTGAGCAGTGTCTTCAAAATCACATCTAAAAGGACATAAATAATTAGGCAGAGCACCCATTACTCTTTAGCATCCCTAGAACCTATGGTTAAGATCTAAGAAAAAAAGTATTAAAAACAAGCAAAAAAATGGGAGTCAGATACACTGATTGTAGTCATTAAGTCTTTCTCAATGTTAAAAATCAAGTGGTTTTAAAAATGGCTCTTTTCAAATATCACAGATCTGAAATTGAAATATGGAGGAAATAGGACAGAATATTTGATTATGTTTAAATCAGCAACTAGGAACCTAGTAGGAGCTAGGTTGCAAAGACAGAGCTGATTGTCCAAAATTATGTGAATAGGTCTCAGGATTTCTATGGTTCTTAACACCAGTGACTGCAAAAATTTCCCAAATGAAGGATAAAAATAAATACTGATAAAAATGCTTCTTGTGTGAGGTCTCCTCAGTTATGTTCATAATCCTAGTAAGCATCAGGAACTTTACCATATTTGAAAAATAGTTTTTATATTTATATATTTTTAGCCTAAACTAGATTTTTCTCAAATTTAACCACACATAAAGAGGGGGAGAAAAATGGGAAAAGTAACCACCACTGTCTCACATGTTTCTGATTCATTCATAGTTAGAATAATGTACATAAATTACTCAGGTAAATTGCTTATCCTCTATTGAGGAAAACCAGAACTGCTTCAACATTTAGTAGACAGCATTCTCAGCTGCACAGACTTAATAGCCCTTATCCTTACTTCCCCACGAGATATGTACATTCCTGCAGGTCTCAGTCTCTATCAACATTTCAGCTGAAGTTATTTGCTAAATTAGCCAGTATTCCCTTACGTGCTAATCTCCAGTGAGTGCAGCCCATATCGATTTTCAATTATATACTTGTCAGGGTGGGCTTGTGCATTGATGGGCACATTGTTTTTGTACCTATGGAAAAACAAAGCAATAATATGTCACAAACAGAAACACAGATTCATACATTTCAATAGGTCAAGTTATGGTGTTTGGAATATCATATCAGCTTCTGCAGGTTCCTTTTAAATAAATTGTAGTCTAATATCCAGAAAATACATCACATATCTTTGAAAACCTAACTTATCTCTTACTATCTCTTCTCATTGCTTCAGATGAGTTTTATTTTCTAGTTTAAAGAACAGCCTTGAGCAGTGAAAATCAGCTTATAATACCATGACTTTCAGATTATTCTTTGTCTAGAAATGGAAGAATCACATGAGCAACATTTCAGAGCTCCGGCAATCAGCAACAACACAAATTCTACCACACCTTTACTCACTGGATATTTTGCACATTTTTTTTTGGCTTGCATGTTCTATCTACTTTTAAAACTTTTGCATGCATGAAAATATCATTAAGGAATTAAGGAGAATTCAGTAGCACAAAGTAGTTTCTTCTCACAAATCTTTGCCCAGAAGGCCATTAATTTTGGACATCCGATGGTGTTATTAAATAACCGATCAAATAAAATCTGTCGTAAGTGAGCACTAGTGATACAGAACAACTGGTGATACTTTGACAATGGAAGCCTAATAAAATAAAAACCAGAATTGTGTTTGGTACATTTGTGACTGAATTGAAGATTTCCATAAGGAAAAAGACCCCCTAACACAGATAGCTTTCCTTGTGCTGTTTGAGATGTATATATTAGGGAATCAAAAGATTAATGATTATAGTTAGAGATGTCTTTATCTCTTACTTGGTAGTAGCTTAACTAGATTTTTCTTTTCGTAAGCCATAACAGATATCCATCCTTAAATGCCAGTTTCTCTCAGGATTTTCCATCGGGGAAGGGAATGAGCCCCATATCATTGGTGTACTCCACCACTCAGTCAGTAATATGCAACTTCATTTTTGTGAAGCATATTTTTAGGTTAATGTATCCCAAGATAAAGATATAGTTGCAATAAATCTGAAAAATGCCTTTAGCACTTTCAATGATTCCTACTATCGGTAATAATATTTCCCATGTTGCAAATTTTTAGGTACAGTAATGCAGTGGGATTTTCGACGTGCCAAAGTGAGTGAGGATCATAATCCCTAATGTATACTGACCTCATCAAGAAGTCTGTGAAAAGGGACTTACTGCAATGCAATACCCACTACTCCACACTTCAAAGAACAATAAACTTTCTTGTCTCCTTTACAGATCTCCTTGCTCTATCCTGACACAACAAATAGCAATAAGTAGGTCAGCTAGGAGTAAATCCATTACCACCACTCTTCATGTATTCCGTGAGATGATAGTTGTTCCCAGATTGAGCTGCCTGGAAACATCTATGCACCTTTATATTCCATGTGCTGTGCCAAACAGTTTAAAAAATAGAATAAAGTCATCAGATCTTAATGTTTTTTTCCAGGAACATGATTATGTGTGCTCAGCCTCTGACCTGCTCCGTGAAACAGAACTGCCTCCAAAAGGTTGAGCGCTCTCTGATGCTGGTGGCCACAACACTTACTAGCATGCAGAGCTGTGCAGAACCAAGCTTTAGCTGAGTAAGAAGACTTTCACTTCCTCTGTCTTCAGTATCAGATTATCAAAAAATAGCTGTCACAGTTTTCATTTGTTTGTATAGAAAAATATCAGGCTTGTGCTAGAAGGACCACTTGTTATTTCTGGAAAGACAGATTCCAGTATAGCCACATCATTAGCTAATGCTGGACTGCAACCTCTCAGTGTCATTATGCACTGAGAGTTTATGCTTTCTGCTACTGGTTTCAAATGTCATGAATTTTTTGCAGGGCTTTTCTTTTTTCCCCAACGGAATAAGAACAGCTGTACCACACTGCAAGATTTTATTTAGAGAACATGTATGAGATTTGTAATTTATTACTCACTGTATGAAAAAGCTTTCATTACTTATACAAAATAGCACGACTATTTGGAATACACAAGGGACAGTAGATTAGAAATACTGAATGAAAACTGATTGATTCAGGCCAATGCTGTTCTGTATCCTTGAGCAAAGCCACCTGTTAAAAATGGCTATGAAAACTCATTTTTTCCCATTAGTAGCCTAGAGCAAACTGGAGTCCTTCTGGAGTTTACATGCACAGTAAAATATTGTATTAAATTTCATCACCCCAATTTAGCACTTAGTTAAAAGGATGGTTCACTTCAGTAAGACCAAAGGCAAATAGTTGAAGATTTGATTTAACCATGTCAGGTTTTGGGGATAAGGTGAATCTCAAAGTGAAAATGTTTCAGGTCTTGTTTTTTTTGGTTTGGATACAGTTATGGTTACAACTATGAGATACAGTTGGGTTACAGCTATGACTATGAATCCTAAGCTGACTTTTCCTTATATTAAACAGATACAAGATCTGAGAGATTTGTCTGGAATCATCACTGAGATGAAAGTCAAAGCTGAGCATTTACACTTCTTACAGAATTGGAAAAATGTATCCATACAGAGTTTGGCTTTTGGTGGTTCAGGTTAAAGGGAAGAGACTTCTGAGCGTCAGGTATGGCCTATTAATGTATTTTTTTGCAGTAAACTTTTGTTCAAGCTCTGATATTAAGGTCTTGTAGGTCTTAGATAAACAGAGTCTATTAAATAATTCAAATAGTAAACTAGAAAATATAAACATTAATTAATATCATGATATAATGGATATTTTTGTTGTCTCTACAAATCTGTGTACTAATAATTTATAATTAATAATTACTGCTTAATTCTATATCTAGACTTATTCTTTGTTCTTTTTATATATGTATTGTAGAAGATTTTGAGATAAAAAGAATATCAAATTCATTTCACATTTGAAAAAAGTTATTAACTTTTATCTGAATAATATATTTGTCAAAATCAAATAAGAAAGAGCAATCCAACAGATGATGAGACAATAAAGTTTTAAAAGACAATTGTAATTAAGCTCATTAAATTACAAGCATGACAAACTTTAACCAAAGACCAAAGTTAGATCTCCAGCTATGTCCAATAGCTTATTTTGGAGCTCCTACAATAAAAGTTTGGTCCAAAGATAATTCCAAGGAATAGAAAAATTCCAAGAGACTCCAGAGCTTTCTGTATACTTGGATGGCTCTAAATCTATCCATTGCCTTTCAGTTCAAATAATTATGAAGTGGTCCCTGTAAACATCCTGCATTATGAGGTTTTAATTTCACCGAAATTCAGTAGCTAGCTTTGTGGATACGTTTAACTGTAATTTTTCCCTCCTCAGAAGGAAGAGATTTTTTTTGGATGTCTTCAAACATGCATTTTTTTAAAGCATGTTTTTTCTATGTATTCATATTGCTAAGTTTTTATGCAAAGAGATGTTTTGACTTTTAACATTTTCATTCCTTTTTGTACAAAGTGGCTATGGAAGCACTTGCAATAAAAAAGCATGGTGACTTTATATCTTTACTGAAAAACTGTCTCATTGCCTAAGATGAGTTCGCATATTGGTTATATGGTGGCTTTCAATGATAGCAACAAAAACCTACCATGTAACACGGGGTTCTGGCCAGCCAGCCACGGTGCAATGAAATTTGACATTTTGCTTTTCCCAGATAGTGTGAGAACGAGGCTTGACAATAAACTCAGGAGCATGTAAAAGTTTATCTTGATTCAGCTTTCTGTGGAATGCCTGAGTATCTTCTAACTGGAAAAGAAACATTTCATCATAAAGCTCCATCTATAGAAGTGCAAATCATCTATAGTCAAAAGCATTTTTGGATTATTTTTAGGAGCAAGAAAAATGTATTTTAAACTTAAGACATATTTAAGATACTAATCTCATTTGGAGACATGAAACAATATTATTCATCTTCAAGATATTATCCTTTCAAAATAATTAATTTATTTTTATGTTTGTCTCCACTCTCCTCCTCATCCTCCTCCTTTAGGACTATTCTAAGTAAAATAATTTTTCATATTTAAAGCTTGTTTTTGGAATACAGACTCAAAGATGAAATTAGCCTCAAATTCAGATGTCCTCTATACATCTTTTCTAATATGAAATCATATTCGCCTAGAACACTGGGTGCAGTTCTGGGCTCCCCAGTACAAGAGGGATGTGGAACTTCTCAAGAGGGTCCAATGTAGAGCAGCAAAGATGATAAAGGGACTGGAGCATCTATCTTATGAGGAAAGACTAAGCAAGCTGGGCCTGCTTAGCCTAGAGAAGAGAGGACTGAGGAGATCTGATCAATATGTACAAGTACCCGAGAGGAGAATACAGGGAGAATGGGACCAAACTGTTTTCAGTGGTGGCCAGTGATAGGACAAGGGGCAATGAGTACCAAATGAAACACAGGAAGTTCCATCTCCATGTGAGGAGGAACTTCTTTCCTGTGAGGGTGCCAGAGCCCTGGCACAGGCTGCCCAGGGAGGCTGTGGAGTCTCCTTCTCTGGAGGTCTTCAAAACCTGCCTGGATGCCGCCCTGTGCCCTGTGCTCTGGGTGTCCCTGCTAGAGCAGGGGGTTGGACTAGATGATCGCTAGAGGTCCCTTCCAACCTCAGTCATTCTGTGATCTCTGAGAGACCTGTTATCTATCCTTTCTTGCTGATGGGGTTATTCCTCTTCCCAGACTGTTTCAACTGTTTAATTATCTATAGCATTAGAAAAAAAAATCCTAATTCTGTCCTAACTTTCTTATGTATGGAGAATTGCAACTCCCTTAAGGTTACTAAAAGAACAGTTTTCATAGCTTTCAAATCTTCTCAGTCTTTTATAAACTACACAATATCTATTTTCCTTATAACTGTGTTTCTCATCTCATCTCTGAATATATTCCACTAGTTCTCAACATTTGCAAAATTCGCAACTAAGTCAGTACTTATCCCACAGTTTCCAATACAGTAATTACCTCCTTTGTTTTAATTACAGAACTTTTTAATTCATTCTAGAATGGCATTTATACTTTTATACAACAGCATCATGGCTTTGACTAACACTGAATTTATGATCTATTAATACTCCCAGATCCACCAATACTTTTATGTAGCCAGTTATTCCTCACTTATTTATTCTTTCTTTTATATGCAATTTCCATTTTCTTTATTAAATTTCACTTTCAGACTTTTTCTCAGTTTTTCAGGATGTTTTGAATTCTAACCTTGTCCTTCAAAGTCTTTACAATTGTTTTAACCTGTTGCTACAAGTGTGTTTTTAAGTACAGTGCCAATTCTTCTGCCTGGAATACTAATACATTCTCTGAATAAAACATGTCTGCACTTGATATATCCTGCCAGTCTGGTCAAAGTGTATTTGTAACTACTCTCCAAATATTATTTTTTATCGAGTTGCACAATAAATTACCAAAACTACTCAAAATCGGAGATTCAGTTCTAGATGTCCTTCACAATTGCCTCCCTAGTTTATCTACTGTGACTCAAATTCCGTGTTAAACACTTTGGACACAGTTGATTCCCGTCTATAAAACCTCTGTAACCCTCTACTGAGAAATGTTGCCTAGCAAGTGCCTCATCATCAGATAGATGTTGGTAAAAAAAAATAGCGTTCCCCCATCCTGATGTCTCTCCCTCACTCCCAGCACAACTGAAGAGCTCCTCGTACTTACCCAAAGCACTTTTCTTATCCACATAACACCAAGATAATAATTGGATTTTAGCCATTGAAAAAACTTTTTGCTGTTTATTGTCACTGCTGTTGTCGCCATTGGTGTTTATAGATCAGGGACCTGTTGTGCCAAATATTTCACAAACACTAAACGAAAACAGACTCACACTGTTCACCATTGAGGTGTTTATATCTATGTTTTTACCGTTTTCTGCAGGGCCACACGTTCAGCAGACTCCCGGACTGCAATTTTCCTTGATTTTTTTTCATGATGCTCTTCTTGAGAAGCGGATGTGGCCACTTTGCTCACACTAACGCCTTCACCTTTAGCCAAAAGATTCCTTCTGGCAACATATGCAGCACTTTCTTTGATTCTTTCTTCTTCTGTATCTGTTATCCCACTGATATTCACTTCACTGAAAAAATGTAGAAAGAAGAAACATTTGAAAATGATGAGAACATACTCCATTGATACTATCACGTTAGACAAATACAGTGCCTATAAAGAGGCCAATAGTCTTTCCAAATCTGTGTCTGCTTTGAGGATCATTACCCCTGCAGTAATCTCACATACCTTCAAAACAGAAATATAGAAGGGTACTGCAGAATGATGAGTCTTTCAGTGTCTGAAGTCATAACCACTTGCAGTGCACGTCCTGATAAGTATACCACGCACATTTTCAGATTAATGATTCTCCTGCTGTAGTTCTACATCTCTATTGCTATAAAGATTAGCATAAGGCATAATTTCAGATCTGTAGGCTTACATTTCAGTTATTGGCTTACGGCTATGGCATTTGTTGTAACAACATCAAAGGAGGCAGGAGATGGTAACTGCACAACTAAGTCCTCATTTTTGAATCTTACAAAAGGAACATCATAGTACACCACAAAAGCTCTCTTTGTTCATTGAAAATTCAATCTCTTTATGTTTGTAAGCTGTTTGTTCTTGCAAGTGCTTTCAAAAAGATGATTTAATGATTTCTGGTTCTTTTTTTCCTTGCAATATCCTCCTCAGGCATTGTAAAAAGGGAAAGAGGACGTGCAAAGAACTGTTGCTCGCAATGAATCCAATCCTGTTCTCACGTGCACGTGTGGAAGTACCACTGCCACTAACTTGTTTTTACACTGTCAGGACACCATAGCTGCTATAGGAGTGCCTATACAATGAGAGTCCTTTGACCTAAGTAGAAGCATTACAGTTTTTCTGCAGTTTAGTTATCTTAGGATAACACAGGATTTCAGAACGAAAAGAGGTTTTATTTAAGTACTTGTTAGGTGCCTTACTGCAGATATAGCAAATTCTGTTTATTTCTAAATGTGGTTAATCTGGTTTCACCATTTTATCATAACACACCTTACTGCTACAGTTGAAAACGATTAAGAAAAAATTTCTTCCCTATTTTGGTTTGTTTGTTTGGTTGGTTGGTTTGGTTTGTTTTTCAAGATGGTAATATTATCCATTTGATAGCACATCTCAACACTTAGGAAAGTTTGGATTCATCCTCTAAAATAACTGTACAGTCCCTTATCTTGTGCTATGTTGTCAGTTCAGTGTGAAACAAGATAGCCAAGCAGTGGAATATGCTGGAAAATTAACTGCTCATAAAAAATCCTCATAGACTAAAAAACTTCAACTGAAGAACTTTGACTTTTTTGTGGTTTAATTCTGACTTGAACTTCCTATGTCTTAAATTGCTTTAACAAGAGGATCCTCACAGGTATCAACAGGCTGGTTCCCTTCACATAGATGCATCAGTCCTCCCTGACAAATATCATTTGGAGCTGCAGAAATAAGACAAAGATTTCTGAAGACAGCTTAATGAATATGAATATAGAGAGCTATACTCAGCTTAAATGAATCAGTGGCATTTTCTTTTAAAGGCAAGCTGGTATCTTTTCCTTTCTTAATTACTGTACTTACGATCTCAGCAACTTCATAGTATGGACCTCAAGGCATAAACCAGCTCATCTGAGAGCTGATGATTATCCTCAGGCCAATAGAGAACTCAGCCTAGACCTATAAAGTACTGGTCTCCAGATGCTGTGGACCAACAGCATTAAATATTTAGATTTGCTAATGAAAAAATCATTTATGCTGATTATAAACTACATAAATCAAAGAGAAACAGTTAATATCTTTGAAATGATGAAGTGTATCAGAAGCAACACACAATGGTATTTAAGATTTGATTCTGCAGTCAAGTCACAGGGGTTTCAATTGAAAAAACTTAATAATTGTATACTTCATAATTATTACTTATTTACTAATAATACTTATTATATAGTTAATACTTTATATATTTAATTATTATATAATTAATACTTAATTATTGAAAATATCAGAGAAAAAAAAATATCAAACTCCAAATGATAAATATAAAATATTATTTGATGGATATCTGCCACTTTCATCTCTCTGACTTAGATTCATTGCTGGGTATAGAGAGTTCCATAGGCCATATCTAGTACTGAGCACCTTTAGCACTAAAGGCATTGAATTAAGTCCTGGATGTTTTATTGTCTAAAAAAAAAATAGCCAGCTGTTCCTAATTTCATTTTCCAAGGATTAGGCTAGGTGTTTAAGAAGAGCAGTTACAGACTGCATATTCTGAGAGGGAGATTTTTTACAGCAGAATTTTAAAGCTCTGAAGTAGAATGAAATGATGGAAATGATGACACGGGGCTGAAGGTCATCCAGCACAGAGGGTATCAGCTCTGTTAAATGCATGCAGTGCTGTCTTTTATAAATAACTATTCCTTGTAAAAGCTATCTGCTCAGAGGAAACAACACATCAGTTTCACAGGAGAATTTGGGAATGACATGTAACATGCACGTGGCTGAATCAGTTCCAGCTGTTATCTTTCAAACAAAAATAAATATCTGACAGTAATGTGGTATGCAACTTTCACAGGCTTGGCAGGCAGTCATGGCCATGATGTCAACATCATTTCATACCATGTTGTGGTGGGCACTCTCATAATCATTATATGTCTTTCTCATACTTTTAAGCTAATTACAAAAAAAAAAAAAAAAAAAAAAACACCTGTTTGGGTCATCTCAATGGCACAAAAGCACAGACATTTCTGAGTTGCCAAGCAAGACTGGTACCAATAACAGTAAGAAGAATAGTAAAAATAACTTAAGAATCTGTCAGTATCTTTCAATGTAAGATCCCAGAAGTACCAGACACAGATAAATAAAGCTACATGTTGTGACACTGATATTACTGTATTCATTTTACAAAAAGTAATATAAAACAAAGGGAGGTCATGACCTGTTAAGATCACAGGAGCTAGTATAAAAGCTAAGACCAAAATCTGGAAGTAACAGCTATCAGTCATGAATATCAGCTCTTGACCAACATTTTAAATTTTATTCTTGTAGGCACTATAAAAAGGGAGCCCCTTTGTGCCCTGACATCAGTGAAGGCAGACAACAGAGAAATGTAAATCTACTGCCACACCAGCAGATATGCTGGCTGAAGCACATAGGTTCTGAGAAGTCTTGAAACTGTGTTACCAAACATTTTGCATGAGATATATTTATTTCTATCATAGAAGATATAACTGAAGCACCAAAGAAATGGTTTAGAAATGTGGCAGTCTATGGTTCTGAATGTGGTTTAGGTCAAAAAACCACGAATCTGATGCAGAAATGTTCAAAGGATTAATAAAAATGACTCCAGGAGGGAATGACCAGAAAGTGCAGAATGCTCAAGTAGCAAAAGCAGCAAGGTCTTCCAGCAGCAAGGTGGAAGTTTCATGTGAAGGCACACATTTGGTGCACAGCAGAAATGACATTATTCCTCACAGAGTTGATTAAGCAGTAGATGTTAGATCATTGACTCCCAGAAACAGCTTACAAATGTCCCATAAACTGCTGTGTTTGCAGGAGAAAGGCAAATCAAAGGGAAGTTTCTGTTCAGATGCATGTGGGCAAGAATTCTTTTTCCTGGACTCAAAGTCAGGATTTAGTCTTCCATTCCACACCCTGATCTGTATTAATCTGAACAAATAACTATGCTTGAACTGTCAGAGGCTCATAATAAGTCATTACACCATCTGCCCAAAAAGGCAGGGGAGTCTCCTTGCTTGGGTTGATTCTGGCTACCGTATGAAGTTCACATTCAGCTTCACTTAGGGCACTGCTTCAGTAAAATGTATTACATCAGTAGTAACCTTGCAATAAATACCACCAACATGTGAGATGAGTATGAATCATTATGATGAATTTGGAAAATTAATTGGTTTAATTCCCAATTTTTCCTTTGCCAGGACAAAACATCAGCACATTGTTTCAGTATCCCTTTGTGTTAGGCTTGCTAAGAGACATTGAATTACAGAGCAAGTCTTCAAATCAAATAGTAAGATAAATAATGTGGGCAATGTCTGACCAGTTTTCAGGAAGCAGGGTGCACGACCTGTGAGTATATCTTAGCTTCACAGAAAGTGGCCAATGTGTATGACACTAAGTCTAGACACCTAGATATCTGTTCTTGCTGCAGATGCTGCTCAATGTCTTATCTGACAGTTACCTTCTCACTGTCTTTTTTTTTTTCACTCATGTGAAGTGCAATCACCTTGAAATCCAGGAGGGTAAAGAGATTAATGGATTTATTATTTTATGATTAGTTAATAAAGTGTCAGAAAGATGATACCAACCAAAAAGAAATTGAACATACCGTCCTGTGAAAACAGGCACTGAGTAGTCCATGGCAGTGTTCTCTTTGTCCTCAGAGATCAAATTCTGTTTTGCTCTCTTGGCTTTGGGACTCATCTTATAGGACTGATCTTCAATCATTATATTGGAATCCTTCAGTCTGAAATAAAAAGGATATTGTTAAATTCTAAAAGAAAAAAGCTGTTAAAAAAACTCTCAGAAAGTAAGATTAAAAAGCTATGTTTTTTTCTCACAGTTGATAAGAATAAAGATAGCATTTTTAATAGTCATTTTTGAGAATTACTAAACACATAACCAAATTCACTTTTAACGAGCCAAATATTGCAAATCCAACACTGATGTGCCTTGACACTCAGTCTTAAGTACAAAGGGTATTCAGTAGACCTGGTAGCAATGCACATTTTATTCATCTTTATGTCTTAGAACTGGAATAGCCTAATTAGCTGCCAGCCTTCTCTAAGACCTTGAAGTGTCCTTTCACTTCCAGTTCAACATGGGGAACTGCATCTGGGCCTGCTTAGACTGGAGGTTTTCCTACATGGCATGAGCTCCCTGCTGTGCTCAGCTATCCAAGCAGTTAGGCACAACATTTCTCAGCAAGGCTCCTTAGCCCAGATTGTACCAGGCTCACATGGCAAACCTTCTTCCAGTGGCCTGGGTAGCCTACTCTGATATCTCCATGCAGTGTACTCTAAACATATCCATTATCATCAAGACTTGTGCTAGCACTGGGCCTTGGAGGATGTAGCACATGTAAGATTGCAGGTGTGTATGTGAGCTGATACTTTCTTTAGGCTGCAGCTCTGCAAAGGTACAAAGCTCCAGAAGTTCCACTAACACATGCCTTGTAAGGAAGATCCTTTAAATTTTTAGGTATGTGTTAATACTCCAGCCATGTGGAACTATGTTTGAGATCATTCATCTCCAGTTTTATTCTCTTGTCTTCAACTCGTTCATTTATTTTTGCATGTCCCTTTGTTCAGCCTGTGTTCTCCCCCTGTATCCCAGCTCTAGTTAAACCAGGCTCCCATCCCCTAAAACTCTTGATGACTTTCATATTGTTCTTCTAATCTGTTCTCCTTCTCCCTCTAGTTCCCTCACATTTCCTCCTGCACCTTAACATCATATCTACTCCTCCACCAGGCCCTCAGACCTCGTGTCTCTGCTCTACCATTCCCAGCACCCCCAGGAAGAATTTCCCTTCCTTTCTGCCAAGTCCTATGCTCATCACACGCAACTATATTTGTCTTGCCACAGCTTTGCAGCAAGGCAGGTGGCTCTTCTGTGCATCCTGCAGCACTGTGGCCAAAAAACACTCTGTACAGGACAGGAATCAAATATGTTCCTTTGGACTCCTCTTTGTCCTCTTTGGACTGCTCTAGAGACAGAAATTCAAGCATAAAGCACTTAGGAACAGCCTAGGCAGAGTAATAAAGAAAGGGAAGAGTCAGCATGAAGCCGGATATACAATAGCATTGCTCCTGGGTTTGGGAATGATACAGTGCAATCACTACAGCCAACTGCAAATGCCTTGAAAAGCATCAAGTGAAGAGAAACATCAAACACACAGTATTTCAATTAGTTTTCATAAATGAACAAGGCACTGTGAGGAACTGAAGTTCTTAGTAGATGACGACTTTTATTTTTGTCCTATTTTAAAATGGGACAAGGCTGGAATTTTGAATCTGAATGCTCTCAAATTTCCATGGGGCTTCACACTGACTCCTTTAGGGAGTCATTTGATTCCTGGTTGATTTCACATCTAGAAGGACCACAGCATCATTTGAACCTCAGTTTAAATGTTAAGTAGTTTCTGTTTTCATAGAAGTAGAATAAATGTGCTGAAAGTACAGTTCAAGTACTTTCAATACTATCAAATCCAAGCCTGCTCTTCATTCCTAAAGCAGAACTTGGATGATAAGTCAATATTGAATATTACCTTTTTGACTAGTGTCTAGTTTTTCAGTTTTGAACCGCAGCCACACATAGAGAATTGATAGAGAGTATACATACCTTGCACTTTCAGTCATTTGGTGATACCTTTTCTACATGTCTTTACAGAGCTTTGACTCTAAAATTATCTAAAAATGAAAAAAATAAATTGCTCCAGTCTTTTTTTTTTAATCATTATGATTATTTATTAAATACTCCAAATGTTTGAGGCTGAATCTCTCTTTCACTCTCCCTCTTTTTTTTTTTCAATTCCTTCCATGGCTTGCATGGAACTCACCCTAAACCTTCAGTTTAATGACATGGATCTCCATCACACGGGAGCCTCAGAAACAGAAATGGAATTGGGTTCCAGAAACAAACTGTACAAGTTTAAAAAAAAAACCTGCACAAGTGCAGTTTCTTCTCCATAATTTTCTCACTCACTTCAATCTGAGTTTTCTGAACTAGATATTCTTTGATCAAGATGCATTTCACTGCAGCCTCCTAGAAAGCTTTGATTGTTTTCTGTGTTTCTGGATCCTTATGATCTCACATCTTTTGGCTGACACAGCGATCAGGCATTGCATATGTGCTCAGCACCAGAAAAGCACCTGTTGCCTCATTTTCTTTCTCTTGAAGAGGTAGCTACAATAAGAGTCCTCGTGCTCTTTTTTAAGAACAAGGAATACTCCCGATACTTCCTAGTGGTATGTAGGAGATAGCAGTTAGCTATTAGGAATACAGATGATGACTATGAATTAAATAATGGATCCACATGGATCCCATAACAATCCATTGTTCTCACACAGCCTGATCAACTTACTGCAGTAATTTGCTCATTCCAAAACGTGACCCAGACTAAGCCAGATCACTATGAGAACAGTTATACTGAATAACCCTAAAGGTGTTTTTTGTCCAGTTTCCTATTCCAGCAACAGACAAGAACAGCTGAAAAAGTGGGTATGTGAAAGAAATACTGCCATTGATAATTCCTTCAATTTCCAAGGAAGGGCCTAGGCACAATGTGAGCTACTTGTTTTAAGTCTGCTGCTCTTTCACAGGTTTTTCTGTGCTCGCCTGCCCAAAAAAAAAACAAAAAAGTAAACTGTTCCCTATTCACCCTTGTGCACATTTTTCACAATTTTCTACCTTACTGTTACAAGTTTTCCTTCCTTCCAAGGTAAGGAAGCCTCAGCCTCTCCAGAAGGAAGCTATTCCAGGCCTCTCGCAACCCTCCTTGCTGTACCCTGATCCTTTCCAGCTTCAGACTGAGCTGAGCTGAGCTGAACTGTGCCCAGGTTTGCAGCTACACGCATACGTTGGGTGGACGCACTCACAGAGCAGGTTTGCTGCTTTATTTGCCCTTTCTTTCACAACTTCCGACTGTTCTGTGACCACATTTTTCAGAGAACCATCCAGAATAAGGCTGAAATCCTTTTCGAAATGGCACTGCACAAACCCAAGGCTAGACCAAATAAATTAGAAGTGTTTGAAAGCATTTCTCCTTTCCAAACCCCTCGTGTCAGTCGCTTCCATGCAGGGTGACCTTTAGGTAGGCTAGCATGAATGAATGCATATTCTAATGGAGCTGAGCTCTTGCATATGAAAGCAAACCAGCCATTATTTTTACCACGATATTTATTTCCCTGTGTCGCTTGTCTGTCATTCCTACCTCTTCCTGTGCAATATGAAAATGAAAGCCCGCACACATCCATTATTTAGGTCGCCTAAAGGAGCACTCTACTTTATTGAACCAGATTCTAAAATCTTGCCCTTTATTTTAAAATGTTCCAACCTTTTACCTGATATGTGGAACAGAATCTCCCAGAGGAGAGCGGAGCAGCTATCAGCACTCTCTAATTTCACAGGGAGGAACAGTACCATGACCTTTTAAGAGCTTTCAGCCTCATTTGATCTGCCCAGCTAGCGTATGTATGTTTCTTTTCCAGGTCAGATACTATCTGTTCTGCCTTATCAAGGTTGGTGACCCAAGCTCAGTGTTCTCATTTCTTGGTGGGTTTCAGCTGGCTAAAATTCAATGCCTGCATTTTCTTGTGTGCAATATAACTATCTCCCAATAGTTACTCTCACAATTTATGTAGAGAAATGGGAGATGGGTGATTATAAATGCTGAAGGCACTGGTATCCTCTCATAGAACTGTAAAATACAGCTAACCATTACATTATTATTGACTTTTCCCTCTAATCCAACAGGCGACCTAAGTACAACATAACGTCTTCTGAATTTCTGAATCTCCTAAACAGAGAATTTGCTTTGGTGTTGTAGTCTCAAACTAATCTGCTGGCAGTGTCCGAGTTTCTCTGCATAGGGGACAGGCTTCCCACCCAGCTCAAAGGAAGCTTGTGGATGTAGAAAGGAGCAGACCACAGCATCCTGATCTTCAGCTATACAAGTACAAAAAGGCACCTCTTAGCTTATTCACACATATGGAAAATCATGCATCTTGTCCTTAGCATGCTTTTGTTGTTTCTCTCTCTCATTATTGCAATGGCAGGAAGGCCTGGATTTGGTGCACACAAGAGCAGTCCCAGCTGTGCCTGCCCAAGGAGCTCCGTTAGCTGAGATGTGTTTTGCAGAGTCTCTTTCCAGCTGCTTCTTGTCTAATTTGCCATGCTTAAAATTTCACACAGTAAAGCGAAGAGAGTGAATCAAGAAACCCAAGTATGGAGAGAAAAGAAAAAGGGATTTTCACAAGACAACTCTTCAAAGTCAGCTTCTAGAGAGGAGAAGCGCTCTCCCATGACTACATTCAAGTTGCTGCCAGATTTGTCATGGACGCAGGCAATATTGCTGGCAACCATCACACTGTTCCCTAACGCAGCTTCCATCAACAACACATTTTTTATAGGATAATTACTTCAACATCGTAGGGTTCATTAAGACAATTTCCATGCTTGTGGGTGACATTTGGAAGCCTGCTACTTTGAAATCTGCACCTATAATAAACCAAAGGATGAGCAGTGCCAATAGGAATTTCAAGACCTTGCATTTCTCTTCTCATGTTTCTTATAGCCTTAGAGTGTATTTTTTACTCAGCCCCATCCTGATCCTAGCAACAATATTTTTGCTTGGAACAGCATTGATTCGTCCTATCTGCGTGTCTGATTAATTCCGGGTTTATAAGCCACCTCTCCTCTGCTTGGTTTGCCTGAATCATGTCTGTGTCTTGTTTGGCTTTTTCCTTACCAATAAATATAAATACCTGAGCTCCATCAATAACTTGCATTTTCTCCCTAAACAAGTTGCTGGCAGATAAGCAGCCTAGGATATGATTAATTTTAGATGGCATTATCTGCTGCTCTCAAGAAGGAAAAATACCACATGGAAAAGCAAAGGAAGTTTGACCACAGGCTTCAATGCCTGAGATTCCATGAGAAGAGGTAAGATTATTTAGTCTGGAAAAGAGGAGACTCAGAGGAAACATCACTGATCTCCACAACAACCTGAAAGGAGGCTGTAGTGAGGCAAGAGTTGATCCAGAATAACTACTGATAGGATAAGAGATAAGATAACTTGGCCTCAAGTTGTGCTAGGAGAGGTTCAGGTTAGACATTAGGAAAAACTTCTACATGGAAAAAATGATGAAGCTTTGGAATAGGCTGCCCAGGAAAGTGGTGGAGTTACCATCCCTGCCAATGTTCAAGAAACAGGTAGATAAGGCACTTGGGGACATGGTTTAAATGGCATAGAATTGAGAGGTTTACAGTTGCACTTGAAGGTCTTAAAGGTCTTCTCTAACCATAATGATTTGGGGATTTCCTTTATGAGCCAGGTATTTACAGCTTTAGCAAACTGCAGCCAACAAAACTGAAATTCTCCATATTTGCCAAGCTTTGCCAGTCGTCATTCCTTTCATTTTACTTCTTTAAGCTGTCACGGTTTGAGGAGTAGACTTGAAATGGGGAAAAGGAAAGTCCATTTACAAAAGGAGCCTTTCTGTCCTCACTAAAGAGAGCTGCAGGCTCTTCAAGCTGTATATCCCCTGGATGTGCTGAGCACATTTTCAGTTCAAGTAAGGCTCCAATGTCAGAGCATCAGGATCAGACCAAGATCTTGCAAATTGCCTAGTCCTTCTCCACTGTTTTCCCAGGATAAATTCTTTACACAGCACTAACTGAGTATCAACACTGTCCCTTTATGATTTTTTTTTTTATTTCTGTAAGGTAGCTACAAAAACGGATGAGACTTAAATTCTGCAAGTATAGTGAAGTCTAGTAGAAGCCACATTAGATTAAAAAAAGCAAATGACTTGAATATAAGCTCAGTATTTAATAGCATACTTTTCCTGTTGGGCTTAACAGATTCTATCCACAAATCTGTATACGTTATGCAAAAAGGTAAGTCTGGATTTAAAGTCTAGTGTTGTGCAATAACCAAGATTATTTGAAAACTTATGTAGATTTAGGTTCATGTATACATTCAGGTTTCAAGCAACCACTAGAGACCTAGTTCATTTATATATAGCATTTTGATTTAGGACTCTACTTATTGAAGATTAAAGTGTTTTATTTATTTATTTATTTTAATGCCGCTTCTTTCATGAGGATGAAATAAGAAGGTCTTTGATTTGCCAGAAGCAAATCTGTTTTTGCTAGACTTTTCATCTCCACATTGTATCTTGAAGTGTTCTGGATGAGGGAAAGATAGTATGGGCATGGGAAGAACAACTTCACATTTGTACCACAATCACCAATACAGTATTTACTCTACTTTTCTCTATTTCAAAGGTGCCAGAATTGGCACCAGGAAGTTCCTTAAAATATATATATATATAAAGAGGACAAAATAAGCATAAACGTAAGCTGAATACTTAATTTATCATTCATATCATTCATTTATCATTCATCATTTATATTCTTCCAAGTATTAGCTATGGTTAGTGCAAAAGAGATTTGCACCTGGTAAGTCTACTCTCCTGGGCACTTCCAAAGCGGCTTTGTAGTTCCCTCTTCACCAGCATGGAGAGAAAAAGGTTTTGATGACAAAAAAAAAAAAAAAAAAAAAAAAAAAAAAATCTTACCTTACCTGGAAATGTTTTAAGTTCTCTCCCAAAAAAACTTCAGTGCATTAAGCAATTTTATTTCCTTTGATATGACTTTGTTGACATTAGACTTTTTGATGAGAAGAGAGGTGTTTCAGAACAAACTCATCTGACAAACAAGAGTCACTGAACTCTTTGTAACTGGGACTCAGGAGCAATTATTTTCACAATCATTTTTTCAATTTCAGGAAATGTTCCCATTTTTTACAGGAATGATAAAAGTTTTCAACAAGAAGGATGAGAGTCAGGGTTAGGGCTAGTGACGGGTGCACTGCTGCATCACTCCAGCACAGCAGCACCTACCGAGCACTCCATAGAAACCAAACCCTCAGTCCCACCACCTCCAGGCTGTGTCCCTGCATGAGCAGATTATCAAATGGGCCTCTCTTGCTAATCCACTCAGTCGTTAATTATCTGCACAAGTGAAATAAGTTCAGCAGCAAAGACTGAATGCTATAGATAAACAGTCGTGTCGTTCATCCAAGCTCAGAGGCTTAAATTCTTGATCAGGCACTCACAGCTTGATCCTGAGCTTCACGAAAGCTAAATGAAGGCCGTAAACATGAGGAATTGCTTACTATGGCACAGATAGGCTTTCTTTCAGTGATTTTGGCCAAAATTCCATCTTTATCCTTAAAGTGTCTTTAGTTGGCCAAATATAAATTTTATGGTAGAGAAGATCCAAATAGTTCTGCTGATCATATTCTCAATTTTATATCAGTGTAGCAGAGAACAGATATTTTCAGCTAAAATTTGTTGATCCTCTACTCATTTCCTCTACTGCTAACAACTGCTCTAATCTTACTTCAGTGCCGAACTATTTTCTATAAATCCTTAAGATTCTCACAAGTACTAGGAGGCTCTGATATCTAAAATATCAATGTTTAGAAATGTAATTGTTCAAACTATATTTTTTTCATGTTGTTTAAGTGAAAATAGTGTAGCTGTTCTTCCAGCACAAAAACACTTCACAATATTTTTGTCTGGAAAAATAGTATGCCTCACACTATTTACAATCCCAAAAAGTCAATTTCTTGAATCAGTCAGCACAAAAAATGAAACCACTACACCAAGGAAGAGTTGTTTAATAATATATAGACATGTCAACTCAAACTTCTGTCCACAGTCCTAATTTCTTCTACTGCTCCAACCTGAACAGATAAGGGACAGCTCCAAAGTGAGAGCCATCCTGGCACTGCTTATCAGCTTGAGTTGTGTTGATATGGTTAACCAACTTCAGAGGATATTTGATTCATGCCTAAGCAGTCGGCAGTGCAGATACGTTCCAACAAGCTGAGCTAACCAGAGCTCTTCCCAAACCCAGAACCAAATGAAAACAATGAGTCTGAAAAGCATACTAATGCCTGGGTACAAAACTTCTTTCAGCTGAAGAGCAGAGTTTCACCATTGATTTCAAGAGGAGGTGGTGGGCAAACTTTTCAGGAATGTTGTTTCAAAGACAGATTTACTTACCCAAGACTGTAGGCTTCAGATCCCAGCCTGTAGGCTGCAGCCAGCTTATTGATAGACTCAGATCCGTGACTATAGGCAGCTGAGCTCTTACTGAGAGATTCAGAGTCAAGACTGTAGGCAGCAGATCGTTTGCTGTGTGCAGCGGAGTGGTGGTCGTAGGCTGTAGATCCGTAGCTGTAGGCTGCCGACTCCAGGGCATGGGCTGAAGAGCCATGGCTATGTGCTGCCGAAGACTCCAGGCTGTAATCCGCAGCAGCCGCGTGGCGATAGGCCGCAGAGCCCCTGCTATAGGCTGTAGACCCTTGAGCGTAGACTGCAGACTTGCTCTTCGCTTCCTTTTGGTACTGGCTTACAGTGGACTGCATTGCCTTGTGGCGGTACGCGCGGTCATAATGCTCGTGGTGTTTTTGGTAGAAAGGTAAAGACATCATGAGTGCCTAATAATTTACCTTTTACTTCACTTTTCTGAATATAAAAATAACAGTACAGTGTCTGAAAGAGAACAGAGCAGATCAAACAGATGAAGACTGAAGGCAGAAACTTCCAAGTTAGCATACATATAATAAAAAACTTAACACAAGCTAATACAACATTTAAATTTATAAAAGCCAAATGCAACAAATATGGTTTCGATGCTTCTCAGAATCTAATGTAGGTTCCTACTGAGGTTTCAGGAAGCTCATACATTTATCAGGAGCAGAAAACCTTATACAGTTGTGTCTGCTCACTGGTTGCTTACTGTGGTGTCACAGTTACTGCAAACTACCCAAGTTTTATGTACTCCATCTCTGCAATCAATACTGCTAACTTAAGACATTTTGTGTGTTCAGCTTCTTCACAGATGATCTATTTTTTTTGGTTAAATGGAAAGAGAGAATAAATTAATAAGTGATAAACCATGAGAGATTTTAATATGGTACATTCACTCTGACATAAGATGAGATCAAAACATGAGACCATTTCATTCATTTTAGCAACTCAATTTTCAGATACCCTTTCATATATACCTTAATACTTTAATATACCTTAATATTTTAAGAATGAATCAAAAATGGTATGATAGAGTGTTACTTTTTGCATTTTTTTTATACTAGACATGATATAAATGTCTAGTAAAATGCCTTATAATACTTTGTCCAGCTCAATTAGGAACAGAGTCTGTATGCACTGAATAAAGTACTGTCAAATTTATCAGGCTGTGACTCCTTTTTTAACCTAGAACTGCATGTTCAAATCTTCAAGAAACGTCCTGCAAGTGGTGTCCCAGTTTGGGACACTGGGACACCCAGTTTGGGTGTCACTTTGCACACTCATCACTAGATTATCTTGCAGGAAATTTGATTAGATAAGAGGTAGTTCCCCTTTCAAAATGGAATGAGGATTAAATGCAGAAAGAGTTCCTCTGATATCTTAACTGACAATCCAATCTTAATATTGTTATTTTTTGCATTGTTATTGAAACCTATATCTTCTTCGCTGAAATGGAAAGCTGTCAAGGCTAATTCCACATGACAACATTTCTTTCCCCTGTTCTTGGTGATAAGGTGTACAAGATGGATGGGATTCAGTGAAGAGGCTACCTGGCCGCAAAGAGAAGTGAGCTACAGGGAGGGAACAGAAGTGAGCTACACGGAGGGAACTTTTCGAGAAGTACAGAGAATATCCATAAACAATAGTGAGAGGTGCTGTTGCATCTATGTATCACAACAATATGGAATTTGTTCTACATCTGTTTTTATTCATGCTAATGACACCGTTATCTGATGTTTTGATATAAAATACATTTAAAGAGCTAGTGTATAATCTTGAATCCATAGAAGTTAAGAATTTTCTCCCTGGTCTTTAAGCTGCTAAGCTTCTGCCTCAGCTTTGTCTTTAGTAGTTGGTTCTGATAATTTCAGAATAAGACAATTTCAGTCTGTTCTTTTTTACAATTAATCAACTACTTATGCAGATTAATACTAATTAGGACAAACTAAGAATCCTAAATTTCAGGGCTCAGTCAAGGTCCTGAACAGAACTGTTTTCCAACTGATAATAGAGCTGACCTCTCAGTTTGCAGAAAGTTAACAGTAATGGTGAAAGTTACACAGAAGACCTTAGGTATATAAAAGAAATAGCAGGTACCTGACAGTAGTGGATCTATGAATTCAAGGAGATCAGTTTATCCATTTATTCTATTTTTACCAGAAGAAGGGGGAGGAATAGCCGAAATTGTTAGTCTGTTGTTCTCGATCGTGAAAAGTAATGCTGCACTAAGTCTAACAAACTCCATGGAGCTGTATAGAACCCTTTTTTTTCCCTAACACCTATCAGTATTTTTTTTTTTTTTTGCTACGTTTTGTTGGCTTCTGATAGTACATAATTCATCCTAATTTACCTATATGTATTACTATTTTTCTCCATGTTTCTTCATTGCTCTCTCTACCAGTTCCATAGAGTCAAGGTTATGAAATGCAAGCCAGCATGATGTCTGCTGAGCTAAGTTAAATACTATCGATGACTCTTGTTTTGTGCACAGAAAGGAAAACAATATGGGCATATTCTCTTTTCCTTTTGTAAACATTATATTTTTCCCCTTCATTTTCAGGTTTTTTTTTTTTGGGGGGGGGGGTAGAGAGATGGCAGTAATGGCTAGATTCATTATTGATACTAACAGCCACACTGCTAAAAGCCATACAGTCCTTGAGGCTCAGAGATTTCCACAACTTAGGACTTCAAAGTAAGGAAATTTATTCAAAAGTATAAAGCACTTCATATATGGTATATTAAAGATAAGTGAGACATTTCTATGTACGTATTACAAGAGCAAATAAGAATCAGTGGATTTAAGATCAATATAACTACATTTTATAAAGGTAATCTTTTTCTTCCAAACACAAAAGCTCTGGACCTCACTATTCCTCAAAAAAAAAACACTAGTAGGATTCATAAAAGGATTATATGTTTATGTAAGTATGAGCTGAGACACTGAGGAGTGAGCTGAACAGGAAGCCAACTCCCCTGGTTCAAATCAAAGACCAAGTGTTACTCATGCTATACAAGAGGAAACTCTTTCCATAGGTATTTTATGACACTATGAGTGTTTCATATTTCCTCTGAGACATCTAGCATTGTTCACTGGTAAGCATCAGCTACACTAGTCTGACAGATAGAGTAGGTTCACATTTTTGGAGATGACAAGAAGCTCTGAAGCTCCTAATGCTTTTGCTCTTATTCGGAGTACTGTTTGATTGTAGAATTGGTTCCCCTCTAAAGCTTTATAAGATGAATGCTATCTCTACCTACTTGCTGTGTGGTCTACTGCTCAGCTCCCTTATTATGTGGGTGGCACTCCTTCTTGAGATCTGGGTAGGATTTCATATTTTGCAGAGCCTGGCCTAAAAATATTAGGGGCCTTAGCTGGCTGCAGGTTCCTATTTGAAGCCATTATTACCAGCTGTTCGGCTGAATTTTCGAAACAACTAAGCAGACAGACAGCTCTGTACTTGTCTGTAGTCTGTAAATACTTGCTGGAGGAAGTGATTTTACTGGCATTATCTCTTGCACTATCATGCAGTCTTGTGTAATTCTTTAAAAATCCACCCAGTCTGTTAGTGAAAACAGTGAAAGAGAAATAAAAAATTAAAAGAGAAAAGCTTATAAGTGGAGAAAAAGTAAGATTTCTTTCAGCTCAATCAATAGTATTTCATCTCTTTTATAAATCATAAGACACCTCATGCAACTAGAAAATATGTAGATTATTTACACAAAGAACTTTCACAACAAATTCCCTTGAGAGTATTGTAGCGACTTGCAAGGATATCCGAGCTAGCAGCAAGTGAGCTCATGCACTGCTTTGCTTTGTCTGAACCTTTGGATTTCCTCAATTCAGTTCCACAACCCCCTCAAACAACTGCGGCGCTGAGAAGATTACCAGGAGCTACTGTCAGTTTGGCATTGCAAAATAAAAATAGCTGAACATGAACGTGGTCGTAAAGGAACACTTACCGGGACCCAAAGGAACAAAAGCAAGTGGAATAGTTTGAAGAGGACGAATAACAGGAAAGCCGAGCAAAGGCAAATCCGGCAAGGAGGTAGTCAGGGCCCAGGCTAAGGACTGGACTTGAAGATCCAGAATAAAAATAATGCCTGCAGTCAGTGGAATGCCAGAGCCCCAGTCCAGACCTTTTATGGCCAGGAGGCTGATAAATATAGCATTGCCACAGGCTGATAAAGATACCCTGTGCTGTCTCTGTGCAGATGAAGACATGAAGACAACAGCTTCAAACTGAGCTCTCTCTTTTAAGTATCTTCACTCAGTACAAAATCTGCATTCCAATTCACAGCCAATTGATAAGACTTTTTTCCTCAGTTACACCTGATTTAGGAGAGCAAAAAGAAAATGTAACATATCATGAGCCAGAAGTAGGAAAGATCCATCTCTACACTGACCTTTCCATGGTGCTATGAGTCTTTTATGGGTTCCTTTTATTTCATTATGCCAAGCCTTGGTGCAGGCAGCATGCACTTGTTTCAGCTAAATGACAGACAACAAAGAGAAGTAGCTTGCAGCAAAACTCTATAAGTGTTACTATTAAATATAAAATATACTCTATTTGTTTGACAGTATCACTTTTTTTGTCATCTTATGTCAAATAAAATATTAAATTAAGCAGATGACATCTGAGTCATTTAAACAAATACACATAATAGAGCTTTAAGAGCCAAAAATGTTTTCTAAACTCTAAAAAAATGCTATCAGTAGTACAGTATATGGATACTTAGGCGGGCTTCTTTCATTTCAATCACAGCAGTTTGGCACAGAAACATACAATCCTTATTGCTGAATACTACGGCAGAATAATTTCTGTCACCTGGAAATAGTTTTTGACATGTAGAATGCACTATCTTTATTGTAAATATACTTTTTCTGCTGTACATTTAATATTGTATGCAAACAATTAGTCCACTTTATCTCACATGTTTGCATTGAGAGAGGTGTTAATCCCAGCTCTCAGTTCTCAGTTGTTCTCTACCCACCTTGCAACACAGCTAAAAATTTTCAAGATCCTCATCCTCTCCTGAGGCATTTCCCATTTTGGGTGGAAGTGGCACAGAATGTAAGGTCAATAAATGACTGGTTGGCCATAAGCACTGGCCAAATCTGCAGGTGAAGACCTGGGACCATAGTATAAGCTTTTCTTTCCCTGTACTAGCTTGTCATTCTAGCCTTCCCTTTGCACTCCTAGATGAAAACAAATGTTAAACAACAAGGACATTCCTTGGATTTTATTTTAGTATGCAGAAAAAGGGTGAAACAAATTAGGTGTGCAACGAGCCCAAACCCACGTGAGTTTTTCACTATCAATGCTCAACCGACCCTTCAGCTACTGACATTTCTCTGGTCCCTTATCCCTCACTGCCAGGGCTCGTACACGCACCCTTCTCCACCTCCCCTGGGTATGCCCTGCTATCTCAAACAGCAGCTTTCAGATTTGCTTTGGCCTTTTTCACATATACAGCCAGTGATTCATTATCATCTTGACCAATTAATGCCTTCAAGTCATCAATGCCTTCTGTCATTTCCAGCTGAGGAAGACCTTACACTTTGTACAGATGAATTTTATCTCTTTATTATTTCTAGCCTTGCCATCCATCTCTTCTATATCATATTCTTATCTTTCTTTGCACGGTGGATGCCTCTTAATACTATCCAACCAGCAAATTACACGAGCATCTTCTGATTTTTCTACTAAGGTCATCAGCAAAACATGAAATAATTTGGCCTCAGGACTATTCTTTTCCCAGGAAAATCTCTCCATCTAATTCTTCCCCTTTTAACAAAACTAGTTACTATGCTTCTAGCTATGCTTATCTATACTACACTTCTGATATAAATCCTCTATTTTAACTAAAAGCTTTGCAGTAGCACAGCATCAAGATGGATTACATCAGTTGCATTTCTGTTTAGAAAATTATTTATCATGTTAATAAAAAAGATAGGTTATTTGTTCTGCTCTTGATGCTATTTCTCTGTATCTTGGTAGATTATGTGATTTATTCTTATCGAGCATACTCCATCCAAATTTTATTTTTTCTTCAAAATGTTGGCAATTCTTCAAAATTTGTTTTAAAGCAAAATTTTCCTCTAAGTCTTGCAAGTTATTGACTGTTGGTGCATAGATCAATTTTCCATTTTCCAGTAGTATTTGCCAGCATGAGAGCAGAGGGATTCTTACCCAATACATGATGTTATTCTTTGACCTGCCACATGTCGGTAAGCTAGTTGCTGCTTTGGAATTGGTGACTCATTGTACCATGGCCCCATAATGAAGTCAGACATAGTAACAAGGCTCACAGGACCAGTGGAGATATATATATATATGCATATATACTTTTTTTTCCTGAGGGTATTCTATTTAAAAATTTGGGACGACTGTAGCTAGCTCTTTGTCTCTTTCAGAATTCACGTGTCATATGCACCTATTGTCATGGCAAGTTTGTCAGAAATACTCAAGATGCCCTACTGCTCAGGGAGATGGAACTAAAAGTCTCCAAGTACCATTTGCAAGAAAAAAATCAAACTCTGACCTTAGACAGGCAGTCTTGAGACTTGATTCCCTATTGCCAGTAAAGTCACTACTGAGCTTAAGTAGTGGAAAAAAAAAAACTCACTTGCAAAAATTAAGCCTGAATTATAGGCTTTGTTTAAGCTTGGGATGTATACACCCGTGGAAAATCGGGATAAGACTGTTCTAAAAACAGTTTCCATATATTTCAGTTTACATCTACATTACACAAACACAAATGACATGTGAAATGGAAAGCTGTCAGGCGATAGGCCTATTTTATCTTTGCATAGGTTCAGTTAGGCACAGTCAAAAATCTAGATGAGGAAGATACACCACTGCTGTGCAAAGACTGGTGCCAGATGGTTCCTCAGGTTGTCATTAATGCTGGAGATATACATTTCAGCTATGTGGAGGAGATTGCTCTACAATCGTGCCGATATACATAACTTATCAGTACCTTATCAGAGTAATTTCTGAATCTCTGTCACTCTGCAATATCGGTTTACTATTATTTTGAGTAATAAGGGTAATGTGGGTGATGTCCTTATTTCCTAACAAAGAAGCCAACAATCTGATTTACTTGGGTTGTCTTCGAGTTTTCTATCCCAGCAATGCTTTAGCAATGGACTATCCATAGATCAGCTGTTTCTGAAGAACTTATAACAATCTCAGAAAGACTTTCAGAGACCAGTCTCAGAAAGACTTACCAAAATATCTTGGCAGATGACTGCTGAAGGACCAGAGACATATCAAGCCAAGATAACTCGAACCTACATGACTGATGTAAATATTTGCTCCCACTCATAGCTCCTGCAATGTAGTTACATAGTGTTTAGAATCAACTAAAAAACTTAAAATTTAACTAAATCAACCAAAAATCTTAACACATGAGATAAGTAGTTTGAGGGGGTTATTTACATACTTGTCACTTAATTTGTCATTCATCAGTTTGTTTATCATACTCTTAGATAGTGACTTTGTATTGGCTGCCTCACTTTCCCAACATGAAATCTAAACTACACAACATCATTACAAAGAAAATGAACTTGTAGCCTTGTTACTAGCCAGTTATTAGTTCCTATTCATGCTTTTCTCTCTGTAGCTCATTCCTGGCTTCCTAGCAGCTGTCAGTGTCCTGTCAGTGTGTACGTGCCTCTTCCTCTGAACTGCCCTTCGGGAGGACACACCAGCACAGGGACAGCAGTGTTTCTCCAAAAAGAAGAGTGTTGAAAAGCAGCAGAAAAGCAATGCCTGATTTCAAACCACTTGGATGCAAAATTCAGCAGTTTTATAAATATATATAATATACACACATGCACACACATATAAGACTATACGACTGCGCTGCAAAATGCAAATCTTAATATAGCAAAACCAACTCCTCCAAGTCATTTAGCCATAGTAAATTTCAGAAACATTCCTGTGAAATACTGTGCATGTACATGGCTTGTGCATGCCAGCAGTGAAAAATAGCTCCTTCTAGACGTGCACCTCTGCACCTCTGTCAGCATTTCCACCGCTTAAGCTGCAGCAAGGCACGGTGAGAGACATACAGCACATGGAGACAGATGTACCCCACTGGCTGCTGGGACTCCCGAGGAAAATGGACCACAGCTTCATTGCCAAGGAAAAGAAAGCTTTGTGACTAGAAGTGGGGGGCTTAAAAGGGGGCACCCATGGGTAACTAGGAGAAAGGGAGGTGCAAAGTAGGGAATGGCTTCTAGCTATGAAAATAATTAACTTGATCATTTTAAGTCTTTTACATACATCTCTAGGTGACGGCTGTGCAGATATACCCTCAGCAGATGAGGTCTTGAAGGTGTCAAAACCCTAATGATATTTTACAATGAGGCATAAAGCAACAACACATGGTGAGTTAAGTCCTACCTCTGTAAAGAAAGCAACATCAACAAAGAAAATTATGCACCTAGACAGCGCTAACAAGTCAAGGTTATGTTTGCACAGCCTTAGCTCTACCTCCAGTGTGTCTGATTCCATCTGCATTTTCCATTACTTACATTGTACTTTCCATTGCTTCTCCCGGTGCCCAGCACACGCCTTTACTTGGACAAGAGCACCCTGCTGATCACCTGCTCCCTCCCTCAGCTAGCTGTGCTATTCTTAAAATTCTGGCTCTTGTTTCCTGCTCATCCACAAAGTTCATGGGACTCCCAGGTGCAACGGCTCTTTTCAAACCACCATGCTGCCCACTGATGCTGCTGGCCATGGTTTGACATGAAGATTGACAAGACACTTGGCATAATTTGGCATTAAGAAATAAAACAAAGAAGATATTTCTTTTCACATCAGAACATTTTTTCTTCACCTTAACCAAGGTCTCAAACAGCTGAGATGTATCCTACTTGGGCAGGATAAACCATACACCATTTTTGCTATGTAAAGCACTAGCAAGGGCACAGTTTATTGCACAGTCCGGTGTGTTCTGTGGGCTCAGCTTCTCTCCTATATTTTCTTTTTGTTTGTTTAGTGCTTCAGTAATTTTAAGGGGATGTTGAAAACAAATCATGGTCCAATTAAGCTAAAAATCTTTCTGCTAAAAATCTGTTTATTGATTCATACTAGCTACTTGGCATCTCTCCTACTCATTGCCACTTCGGATTCTCTATTTGTGGGAATTATATGAAGATTTTATATTTACCTGAAAACACAATG